CGTCGGCATCGAACGACAAGACGATCAGGCTCTGGGATCCGGCAACTGGGGCGACGGTGCAGACACTGGAGGGCCATATTTATGGGGTGAGTGCGGTGGCGTTCTCACACGACGGCAAACTGCTGGCGTCGGCATCGAACGACGAGACGATCAGGCTCTGGGATCCCGCAAGTGGGACAACAGTACGGATGTTTGAAGATGTGGGATATCTGTATCACCTCCAGTTTTCATCGAGTGGAAAGTATCTGAACACTAACCAGGGTTCATTACACATCCAACTGCCGACAAAGAAAATGTCGCCGTCACTAGTCAAGACCCAACGACCTGACATCTTCTGCAAGGATGAATGGGTGTCCATTAGCGGTGAACGAAGATTGTGGCTCCCCCCAGACTATAGATCTATCAGAGCAGCTGTGAACGCCAACATCCTGGCACTGGGACTCCCGCATGGCCCGGTCGTCTTTATATCGTTCTCCTTCGACCACTTAACCAAGGCCAATACTGAAAAATAACTCGGCAGTCCAAGTGACTTGATATCTTCCTCGGCATTTTGACGTTCTACAGAACGCGAATTCAGCTGTTGACACTGTACAGACACTGAGCCGTTGCGCTTTATGAATCTGACCAGCGTCTCTCATCTCACGCTTCCTCTGTGCTTCAACGATGTCTTCATAGCTCATGACTTGGCATTTCCAATCATGATAAATTTGCACACTGGAACGACGTCATGGGTACACAAGAGCAAAGATTAGTGACATAATCCTGTGTCGAGTCATGTATTTGGTGCCAACAACTATGACTCGTGTGCCGGAAAAAGAGCTCACCGAAAAATAGTATATTTTCCTAACTTTGCTGCCTTCGGAGCCTCTGCGACTCTCCGTACACATCGTCTTCGTATTCAGGGTCATTGCTTCTCATGCCCATGGCCATACGACGGTGCGCATTGCGCTGTTTACCGTTGTTGCCGCGATATGTCGTGTCGTACCCTTGGATGCGGTACCATGACAGCTTCTTGAGTTCGAACAGGGCTGGGTCCTCCTTGATCTTTTCATGGTCAGCCGGGCCCCATCCGCTGCCGTGTGTTTGCTCTGGAAGTGAGCATACATGCTTCCTTTGGTGAGCACGATGTGGAAGCAACGGGGGCAGGCGAAAGGATCGTCATCAACGACCGATCTGAGCGTCTTGGTACGTTGTGTAGGACCCGTGGCTGGATTGTTGGTTGGAGTCGCAGGAGACGAATTGACCAGGGGAAGACCACCGAGGGGGCACCGCGGATGTGGAGGAGGAGGAACAGCAGCAGTGTTAATGGCTGTAGGGAGAGGTTGCATGGCCATGGGCATGGCGGGAAGAGGCAGGAAAGGTGCACGAACAAGACGGGGACCAGGGACAGAAGCAAGAGGAGCCTCAGGGGCAACAGGACAGAGGAACAAGGCTGGGTCGAGAGCGGGGGTGAGGGCGTTGTTGTTTCCAGCTTGAGGTCCATTAGCTATATTGTCGTAGAATGGGTTGGATGGTAAGGACTCACCACCACCAGCAGAGGAAGAAAGAAGTCCGAGACCCAGCTTGTTGTCGACCGTTGCAGCAGCGCGATCAGCAATTGCTGCGAAGTCGTCGTCATCAAGAGAAGGGTATTCAGAGACATTTGCCTCTGTAGAAAGCCCCGAAGGGAGGAGAAAACTAGCACCACCATTTTGGGGGTCGTTTGGCCGAGAAGCAGGCTCGAGGAGGTTGAGTGATATAGGGCCAGCCACCAAATCGTCACCAGAGAAGCTGAGAGAAGGAAAGTCTGAGGACGCAGCGCCACCATTGCTGTTGTCGTTACTTTGTTGAGACGCCATTGCCCAGGGTTTTGGTGAGACTTGGGTGACGCGAGAAAGAGGAAGACAGAGACGCAGCCTTGCGCATAGAGGAGGGGCCAGAGACACGATGACCGGCGAGAACAAGGCTGTTGATAGTGCGTGTTGTTGCAAGAAGTTTTCGATTAACGAATGGAACGTGAGCGAAGGTGAGATTCTAGGAGTGCGACGTTTTTTCGGCATGGCACCGCATCGAAAAGGTAGTGTAATTGTCACATCATTCACCATTCAATGGGTCAGGCAATATATCGACTGCCTCCCCTTACATCCGCCGCCGTTTGCGACGGCGAGTGAACACAGCAGAACTTTATTCCGCGATCCCATCTTCCCTTGAGGCCTTTGGAACAACTAGCGACTGAGTCTCAACCCACGAACCAAATGTGCAGATATGCTTTGTTGATGTCGTCCGGACAATGGAATCTTCTATCCACAGTGTATTGTCCGGCCTTCGGTGGCAAAAGACAAAGGACAAAGACATAGAGCAGCGTCGGTGTATAATAAATAGGAAAGAAAGAATACACAGAATGACATGTCAGTCAGGGACCCCAGCCTTGCGTGGATGGAGATGTGCATCATGGAGCAGAAAGGGGAGGAAAGGCTGAGCTGGGGCCCGAGCAGCAGACTTGGTTGAAGAATTCTGCCATCTGGATTTGGAAGGTGGTCAATCATGGCCGTCGATGATACGCTGGACAAAAGACCTAGTGCAAGGAACAACATTAGCATCAGCATAAGGTAAGAATACAAAGCCAACAAGAATCATACCTATGTTGCTAGGCTGAGCTTTTTCCCAACTATATCTTTTGTCTCGAGGATTTACTTCCACTCTCGCTCAGCCTTTTTTTCTCCTCTCATCAGGTATCAAGGGCTCAAGCATCAGCGAGATCATTGCAGAAAACATCAAAATCAGGCCTTGTCGCGTCCATAGGAGGTAATTAGTCCAAGCGTGCACCTGTTTTTGGCCCCTGTTGTTTCCGTTCTGCTGTTTGTGATTGTATTTTTGTCGGCCACTGTGTTTGAGGCTCAGGACTTTTGGCTGTTGGAAGCTAGCCACGGACCAGACTTCATCGCTGATATTCCATCTATTCTCAACGCTTCAAGCCCAAGCGTCTCCGCTCGTGCCTCGCCATGGGATCTGAGGGATGCTTCTCTTGCTCTCCACGACGACAACTGCGTCGGGAATGGGTAATGGGATGAAGGACCGAGACTGGCGGTTGAGCCATGGGAGTGAGGAAGTCGAGTCCGGTTGATGTCGCTAAGTGGTACGCGAGGATACGGTGGAACGTAGAGTCACCTCGGCGCTTGATACTGTGTGAGTTCTGGGTGAGGGTGAAGGATCGGTGTTTTGGGTGTGAGAGGGTATTCGGTTCCATATTGGATATATATGCTGTGTGTTTTGAGCATGGCAAGGGTTTGACTTGGGATCTGGTTCGGGTCCTTGCTGATGCTGGAATGTATTCTTTTGCGCCCTCTTGGAGACATCGGCAATCTTATTCTTCCAGGAATATATCTCCACGTGGAAAATAGTAAGAGAGTGGAGAAGGATGCGATGGAATGTAAGGGGCTGAGCTTTGTCTGAGACATTGATACATCAGGCTTCCGGCGACTCTCAAATTGAGGGTAAGGGAAACAGGTCCTCAGATGTTGTATAGATCAATTGCTGGGAAGGATAGGCCGGTGAAGAAAATAACATTCATGAATGCACTGCACACAAGACAGTGTTGATTTCTATGAGATGTTTTATCTTCATTGTGATAATGTGAGAGAATGCCTCTCACCAAAGGCAGTGAAAACTCAGTTCATGTCAACAAAGCGCTTACATCAGGGCATCTGAAATCATATCTATGGGTGGGAAACCGAAACTGGAGTATCACACTATCTTCTGCAAGTCCTCGTCTTCATTCAACCCTTAACTCGGTTGTAGTTCCATGATACTTCCCAAAACTTGATTGTAATGTTTGAGACAAATGGTTCAAGCTGCAGGAAGCGCAATGCACCAATGCAACTCGAACTGTTCACGCTGCGTGAATCCTAGCGAAGCGCTCCTCCAATTCACTCTAGTCCCACATGACGTTCACACAGCCCAGCTGGACAAATCTCTTGCCCATTTTCAATAGCAAGGCATCTTCCGACTTAGCTCCATACTTTGTCGAGGATGTGGAAGTCAATTGTGGGGTCAGGTTTGGAGATCGATCCAGGTACGGGAAGCTGCAGCAGAAAAGATGTCGTCGAGATGGAAGAGCGCGTCTTGTCCGGTCTCGGTGGCGGGAGCTCGAACCCGAGGTAACGGGGAGGAAGAGGTGACTACAAGCTTGTACTTATTGTCGGTACCAGGTTAGCGAGACCTTCCATGGAACCAGCACCGGGCTTAGTTTTGGCTGCAAGAATACCAGTGACCTCGATCTTCTTCGGCCTTCACATATTTGGAGTGCTCACCCTTGTTCAATTCGAAACGGAATTGTTTTTGCAAGACCACCAACATACCGCAAAATAATTTCTGACCGAAGCAGTTGCTGATCAGCTTTTCTTGGGTATATCGTTTGGAGGATTCCCTTCACTTCAAGGATTATGTTAATGAGGCTGCAGCATGCTTCGAAAGCGATGCCTTCCCTAAGAACGAGGGTGTTATCACAATCGAAAAGGACTGTACATACCATCTCGGTTGATTTTCCTCAGCACGAATTGTTGTGTTGTAGACGAGTGTGAGATACTTGAAATGGAGGAGAAAAATGATTGGAAGGAATAGCACGTTTGTGTTGACCTGAACAAGATAAATAAGGTGAAGGTATTATGAGCAGTGACTTGCAAGGAGGCAATCCTAGACACAGCCAAAGCGGGCACTGCGTTGAAAGACAAAGATTCGCAGACGTCTACACATCATCTTTGGCAAACACTTTGACACTCCTTTCAGCAAAAAGGATGAAGGGGAGCACTGGCCCAAGAGAACGAATAGCAGACTGCAAAGGAAACATTTTCTAGCAGATTCTAAGAGCAGTTGTAAACAAATGGTATGGTGAACAAAGGAGGGAGTTCGAAGGGACGAGGCCGAGAAAGAGTCCCGGCCGAATCTCTGGAAATACTAAGAGCGGCAAACAAGTGGCTGATGAAGATCTGGAATACCTGCCCGTGTTCGAAAAGGATTGTCTCATATGTGCTCTGAAACATGAGCATTGGTGTCATGTTCTTCTTGTCTCTCCAGTACGGCCAGGCTTTTGTCATGCTGCCGCAGGCCAGGTAAGTGATTTGGAATCGGCCAGGTGGCATGATCAAGAAAATCGGCGAAAGAGTATCATAGCTCTTCATTGTCACTGCCCTTCCCTCCTCTTTTATTCCCTGCTGCCACAGGAGATGTCCCAAGCCATGAGTGTTCCTCACCAGTTATCCAAGCGGCGTTGCGTAATGTTCGATCGTAGACGGTAGTGAACCAAATGAGGACATGCTAAGGGTAGAGGACTCCATACTCCTAACGAGATGCACAGCATAATGCGATGCACAAATTCGGTCGACGCCTCGTAATTTCGCCTGGCGAAGATGCGAAGTTGGTGGACGGAAAAGTAGTCGAATCACTTTACGCGTTAAGGGATCTGCGCGCTGATTGGCGGAGCCGACGTTCTACGGTTTCTCCGCCGACCAGGTGTCGGGAATCTTTGTTGACACGAACTGCAGGCCCGTCAGTGCACCAGTGCACCGGGGGTCCGAGCCGACCGAATTGATGGATCTCTTCTCAGCCGGGAAAACAAGAAACACAAATCCTCTTGTACTGACACTCGGACCTTTTCTATTCCATCTGCCACTATCACTGTCACCTGCTGGTCTTGGATTTTCCTTTCGAGACCGCTTCGAGCATCCAGTGGCCTGGCTCACCAACGACACTGCCTGCGCAACTGATCTATCTACTCATCTTTCACCTGACATGCAGCCATGGTCCTGCTGGAGAAGCAATGGGTGAATGTCCAAGAGAAGACATTTACAAAATGGTACGCCTTTAGCCACTCCTCCATCGCCAATGGCGGCTTTCTCACTTTGCCAGGCTCAACAACAAGATCGCCTCCCGTGAAGTGGCCGTCAAATCTCTCGTGACCGACCTTTCCGACGGAATCATCCTCATCCATCTCCTCGAAATCCTCAGCAATGAATCTCTGGGCCGATATGCCTCCAACCCAAGGTTACGGGTGCAAAAATTCGAAAACGTCAACAAGTCGTTAGAATTCATCAAGAGTCGGGGCATTCAGATGACAAACATCGGCGCCGAAGATGTGGTGGATGGAAACCGAAAGATTATTCTCGGTCTGATATGGACACTTATTCTCCGGTTCACCATCTCCGACATCAACGAAGAGGGCATGACCGCCAAAGAGGGACTCCTTCTGTGGTGTCAACGAAAAACAGCATGTTACGAAGGAGTCGAGGTGCGAGATTTCTCGACTTCATGGAACGACGGCCTCGCTTTTTGCGCTCTCCTCGATATTCACCGACCCGATCTCATTGACTTCGACACCTTGGATAAGTCGGATCACAAAGGAAACATGAAATTGGCGTTCGATATCGCCACCAAAGAAATCGGAATTCCCGATTTACTCGACGTGGAAGATGTTGCCGATGTCCCCAGACCGGATGAGCGTTCCCTCATGACATACATCGCCTACTGGTTCCACGCATTTAGCGCCATGGAAAGAGTGGAAAATGCCGGAAGACGCGTGGAAAAGTTTGTCAGCAATATGCAAGGTGCCTGGGAAATGGAGTCTGCATATGAAAAGCGCATGCGTGCACTGCTTCAACAGATCCGACATCAACGACAGTCATGGCACAACTCGAGATTTGAAGGGACATACTCGGACGCCAAAGCGCAAGCCAATGAACTGGCGAGCTACAAACGGAATCAAAAGAGAAAATGGGTGGCGGAGAAGTCGGACCTGGCCGCTCTTCTCGGAAACATCAAGACAAAGTTGTCCACCTACCGCTTGCGGCCATACGTGCCACCAGCCGACCTGCGACTTGAAGTGCTTGATCATGAGTGGGCTACATTGGGCACCGACGAGCACGCACGAAGCAAACTGATCAACGAAACGATTCGAGATATCAAAAATGCGTTGAGACGAAGTTTTGCCGACAAAGCCAACGACTTTGCGCTCACTCTCAATACACTGTCTCTCGCTGTGTCCGGGCTGGAAGGTGATGTTGAAGACCAACTGCAGCATGCACAGCGACTTTCGGCCAATTTGGCACCCCTTGAGCAATATCTGGAAGGAATAGCTGTCCTTGATGAGAAGTGCCAGGAAGCCCACATCGATGAAAATGATTATACCACTTACACGTACGACGAACTGTTGTATGAGTTGAGTTTGGTCAAGACCAGTGTGCAGAAGAAGCTGACCTTCCTTGAAAACCAAATGGTCGCACGAAATATGACGAATCTGACGCCCATTCAGCTGGAGGAGTTTGAATCAGTGTTCCGACATTTTGACCGCGATGGAACAAACACGCTGCAAGAATTGGAGTTCAGTGCAGCGTTGGCCTCTCTGGGATTGGTGTATGACGAGCAGGAGATGCACGAAAAGTATCTCGAGGTATGCTACAACGGTATCGACCCATCCATGTCCCCTGTGTCTCGAAGACAGAGAGAAAGCCGGGGAGTCGGGTTTGAGCAATTCATTCGATTCATGGTGTCCGTGACCGAAGACCAAAACAGCGCCGAACAAGTATTCCAGTCATTCCGAGAAGTGGCAGATGGAAAGCCATATGTCACCGAGATGGACCTCAGACATTCATTGATCCCTGAAGACCTGATTGAAGATCTCCTTCACAGTATGCCGGAACACAGAGGTCCCGATTTGGAGGCAGACCGAGACGTCCCCAAATATGATTATATTTCCTTTATGCAGGGCATGATTGGCGATGGACATGGCAACACCAGCGAGAGGGACGACGAGAGGAGCAGAGCCAATGGAGTCAAGACTCCTACCACCCCCAGAAGATAGGATCAGTCCGATTTCTGACTTTCGGTTATCATTTGGATTTTCCTTCCTGCACAGCAGCGGTGTCGGATAGGAATGGAAACAAGCAATTCCGGCTGTCCTCCGTGGAAGATGGCCACGTCGACAAGAAATACATTAATAGTACACAATGGGCCATGAACAAGGGATGAACCCGTTTGTTATTTCTACCTCAGAACGTGCCGACATAGGAACTCCGCCCCAGGAAGACCCGAGGCACAGTAGTTGAATCCGCCAATCAGAACACCAGGGACCTGGGATCACTTCCCGCCTCGGATATCTGCCCAAAGACTTCGGTTTTCTCCTCCTTTCGTCGGTTCTTGGTCTCCAGCGCTCAGTAAAGACCTTCATACAAAAAGTTCGTGTCCACAAACATGGCCCAAACCCTATCGGCGCTGTTGTTGCAGACTTCCCGAACCCATCACCTTTTCCCCCTGCGTCCTCCGTGATCCTTCCCAGTTTCTTTTGAGGTCGCCATGCCTCGCAAGACTGTATACCTGCCTTGCAAGGACTATGAGCTCCCCGATATTGACCTATTGACACTGATATTCGGTACGTAAACTTCCCATTCTCTCAATGGCCTCGATCTGCCCTCTGACATCCCACACAGAATCTCCGGAGGCGTGGACTACGGAATCAGCCATTCTTCACGCCGAAGCGGCTCTTCCCAACAATTGCATTACGAAGGCTCAGGCACGCGACTACACCATGAGAATCGCGTACCACCTCCGGCAGTCCTACGGCATCGGCGCCAATGGACCCGGTAAAGACGTTGTCGTCTGCATGTCCTCGGGCCAAATCCTGCTGCCTACCATCTTCTACGGCGTAATTGCCGCCGGAGGAGTCTTCTCAGCCGCAAGCTCAAGCTTCACATACCTTGAACTGGCGAGGCAGATCCGGCAAGGGAAAAGCAGGTTGATAGTGGTGAGTCCAGACTGCAAGGATGAGGCCGTCAAGGCGGCCAAAGAATGCGGGATTCCGCTTGATAGAGTCCTGGTCTTGGAGAGCATGGGCGGGAACAGAAGGCTGCAGGATGTCCTAGGCAAAGAGAAGAACTATGTCGAAGGCCCAGGCAAGAAAGAAGAAATGATGGACTGGGAAGCCATCACGGACCCCAAAACGCTGAAAGAACGAGTTGTCTGTCTGCTCTACAGCAGTGGTACAACCGGTGTACCTAAAGGTCTGCCCATCTGCCCACCCTGCTCAAACTAGACAGAACACCCCGGCTAACGAAATCATTCAGGAGTCAACGTCTCAAATGCCAACCTTGTCTCCGAAGGCTTGATACCGCAATATCTCATCCGGGAATTCTTCAATCGCCAACGCCGCCGCGATCCAAATTACCAATTCGTGTACCGCACCCTAGCACACCTCCCAGCCGCCCATATTGCGGGATATCAAGGATACGTAAGTTCTCTCAAACCTTATATCGGGATCATCGAGACAGGTCTTGCTGTTGCTTGGCTTGACCTTATGCTTTTCCTCTGATACAACCCCTATTTCCTCCTCAAGCCAAGGATTCGTTGCGAAATTACACATTTCGATCATTTAGATGATTTCACGAAGTCTACGTCGTCGAGATGAACTATGGATACAGTCCGACCAAGGGTCGCTTTAATCTGGATTTGAAATTCCTCTCTCACTCCTCCAATTTGCTTGACCACGTGGCTGATACGAATTTGGAGAGAACAACAGTTCGTCAACCCAGCCGTCGCCGGCGGACCCGTGTACTGGATGCCGAAATTCGACTTTCCCAAATTTCTCGAATACAACAAGAAATTCCAAATCACTTTCTTCTTCACCGTACCGCCGATCTATCTATTAATCGCAAAGAGTCCGCTGGTGACAGACCAGTTCCGGACGCTGGTACATGCGGTCACGGGGGCGGCGCCGATGGGGCCGGAGTTGACAGCGCTAGCGGAGGAAAAACTCGGGTGCAGTATTAGCCAGACGTGGGGACTTAGCGAGACCACGGGCAGCGTGACGGCGATGCCGTGGGATCAAGACGATAAGACAGGCTCGGTGTCACCTTTGTTGCCGAACACGAGGATGCGCATTGTGGATGACGACGAAAACGACGTCGAAGAAGGACAGGAAGGCGAGTTCATCATGCAAGGACCCATGGTGACGACGGGGTATTGGGACAATGAGAAAGCAACCCGTGACAGCTTCACAAGGGATGGTCAGTGGTTCAAGACCGGAGATGTCGGCTTGGTCAGAGACGGCATGTTCTACATCGTTGATCGGAAGAAGGTATGGACCCTCTTTCAAACTCTTTGCCGTTCTAGACCGCTATTAACGCAATCTACCAGGAACTCATCAAATACAAAGGCCTCCAAGTCGCACCCGCCGAGCTTGAAGCCCTCTTGTTAAGCCACAACCTCATCCTCGATGCGGCCGTCATCGGCATCCCTGACCCCAATGGCTCCGGTAACGAACTTCCCCGCGCGTACGTCGTGGCAGACAGGTCCAAGATCTCCGAGGAACAGATCAAGGACTTTGTCAAGCAGAATCTCGCGCAGCATAAGCAGTTGAGAGGTGGCGTGGTATTTCTGGAAGCAATACCGAAGAGTCCGTCCGGCAAGATTCTGAGACGGGAGTTGAGGGAACTGGCGAAAAGAGAGAGGGGCGCACAGGGCTCGAAGCTTTGAACGTTGATGTGGATGTGGATGGCTGGAAGGGCCTGGGGAGGTGTATATTTATGCATTCCGGTCCCGGTAGATCGAATTGCTAGATGACAGAGGATAGATCAGCGCAGGCAAGACGCGACACAGGGCACGGATATAAATAAATTGTGGTATTTTTACAAAATAAAATTATCCTATACTTCACGGGGTCTCCGTAGAATCTTCTGCTCTCGTGCCTTTTACACAGGCTACCCGTATCTGGTGTCGTTGTTGACGCGTCTTCTATCGTGATGGGAGGATACAAATATCACGCTTCATTTAGGATGTCGCTATTGAAAGCCTTGTCCCATGGTACATCAAGCCGTGATGATGCTGGTTGCCTCACAACCGCGGCTGACGATTCTGCTCGGGCGTGAAGAACCCTGGAATATTCCCCAAGACTGACAATCAGGGAAGTCGAGAATGACGAGCCGGGCTTGACGTGAGGTTATGGGTCCTTTGGCAGAATTATCGCCGTTCTTGGGCGTGGGCTGCAAAAGTCATGCTCGCAAGCACTATCATATCTTCCACACCTTGACATTGTGCGGATTTCTCGAGATGGCATGCGCAACAATCTTGCTGACGGCGCCTTGCTCTTCCCTTCCATTCTTCCACTCCTTTGGTCCAGCAAGGTAAGAGATGAAACCTGGAGGACCAGAGATGAGGATCTGACGCTGTTCTTGCGGTGTGGCATATCCAGTCGTGAAGTCCTTGTCATCGAATCGGGATAAGGCTCGGAAAACAGCATCATCATCGATCCAAGTATCTTCTGCGTTGACGAAATATTCAACGGTGACTTGACCAGGATATTTCTTCTTGAGTGCCTCCAGTTCCTGCACAATCAAGCCCTTTTCTTGCGATACCGGAGGTGTTGGCTTTGGCTTGGATTTGGAGAATAACCCAGACCAAGTTGGTTTGGGAGGAACAGATTCAGCGGGCGGAGCATCGCTAACACCACCCAAGCAGTCCTCTCGCATTCTGTTTGCCCACAGGATGTGTAGTTTTCTGTCCCGTGAATTGTCGTCTCCTTCTGTCTTGTTGCCCTCCAAGAGCGCATGCGCAATCTGCAGGGCGGGCGCGATACCAGTGCCACCTGCAAAGAACACCACTTGTCGCACCTCCGGCGTCAATTCATATTCCCAATTGGGCCCCCTCATCGCGATCTCAACTCCGATGGGTAGCTTATGTAGATAACTTGAAACCTCGCCGTGAGGATCGTTGCGGATCAGGAATCTCAACGTCTCCTCCTCTTCACCAGCACTCTCATCAATCGGTGGTAGAGGCGTGTATGCCCTCACAATCTGCAATTGCGGCTGTTTGAAATGGACATTCCAAATTCCTCGTCTCCAAGCGTCTTTGTAGAGTTCGAAGTTCGCCGAATCTTGTCTTGGTTGGAGGTGAAATATGCTGGCGGTCGAAGAGACTGGTTGTTTTGCGACGAGCGAGTACGAGACGAAGTAGTCGCCTTTACGGCTGAAGCTGTATATCTGCCAACCTATAAGGACAGCGGTACCAAAGCAAGTTCCAAGAACGATCTGGCGGAACAGAGGTTTTGACCGGAAGGATTCTCGAGCATTGAGAAACTTCCGTGTCCTCTCGGGAACAGTGGAATTGTAGCGTGCACTACATCTCAAGGAGGGTATCTTCGAAGCGTCTTTCAAGTTGCGCGCTGCTCTGATCGAGCACTTTACAAGCATTGAAGGCACCGTACAGCGCTCTATCGGTGGGTTCAGAGGATGATCACCTTGAAGAGAATTGTGGTAAAGACTGCCGAAAATACACGCCGCTTTAACTCTCTCAAATACTTTAGCCTGGAAGCAACGATCACGTGGAAGGCTATCAATAGACAGGCTCAGTGCCGTGTGTTTCGCCCTTCCTCTCTTCCTTGGACCTGATATCTGCATTTTGACTTTCGCGCGGCCTTTCGTCCTCCGTTCATGATCCACATACGATTGCCTTTGGAGGCTGTCTGAAGTCACCTCGCTAGCCATTCCCCATATCTACCTAGCCTGAGCCTGCGTGGTCGTCCCATCCCAATCCACCCAACATCGTCGGTTGAACACTATTGGCGCTCATCGTACACGATATCATGGCGGATTTGGAAGAGAGTCCACAGAACCGGCAACGTGCTGGAGAAGACCTCGTGGAATTTTCCGAACGAAAGCGACGGAAGTAGGTGAGAGTGATGCCTGCACCATCAGTGACCTCACTCCAGACGACGAGGATGGAGAGTTGCTCTCTGATGGCGACAAAGTGGAGGCACCAAAGCCGAAAGAAATCCGAAATATCTTGTTTGCCGAAGCTCGACGACACTATACCCGCAATCTCAAACATGTAACCACTTTTCGAGAAGTTCTCCAAGATCTTTACGAATAAGATGCCCCAACAGAAGCCATTTAACTCAGGAGATTGCTGCGGAAGGTGTTTTTACACACGAATCCTCAACATCGAGATATGAAGCTCTGGTGTAAGTACAGTTTGTTCTAGATTGGGACCGAATTCCTCCTGGGTTACAAAAAGAAATGCTATCTCTGCTCCAAGAGTTGCAGGCAAGGCGTTAGTGCAACGCAGCGATCTCAATAATTCCGTCGAGGCCGAAACCAGGTGATGAATGCGCACTATCTTCATTTACCTATCAGCCAAAGATGAAGAAATTCCTACTCCAATGGTACAACTCACTTTGTAGTTTTTGCCGAATTTCCGCCTTGATCCTCAGTGCGGCTCGCGAATCGGAGACGAACCGAACCTACCGGACTAGAGCAATGTACAGCGACCTCACGAGGAGAGCCTATCCATCTGCAGACTCAAACAGCGAGACTCGCGACGTGGTCCGAGATCGGTTGGTGATGAGTACCTGTGTGCCACAAAGTCGTGTCAATGCCCCGCTAACAACGGAGCAGAGCTCTTAGTGGATGCCCAAGAAGGCGAAAACTCTCCAAGGCCCATACTCAACAAAAGCCCAACAGGGCTCCACAGATCGCGCTTTCAAGGGGGTCTATTACCGTGCTCCTAACGAGGCGTGATAAAGAGTGTCAAATCCGAGATACTCCGCCTTTGGTGTGCCTTTAACAATACCAAATCATCAGGACATAGAGGATGCTGAGAGTCTGGATCCTGGCTCAGGGTGTTCATGCTACATGATGTCGTCCTTCTCTCCGCAGACGAATTGCTCAGATTCGAACTGCCAAAGTTCCTGGCGACAATTCTTGAATACACATTTCGCACATCAAAGTCATTTAACTCTCGGCGTGCAGCTGTACTACGTGCTGAGATCAAGCTAGACTGATTGATCGGCATAAGGTTCGCGTTTACTGGAGTTGAATAAATTCACGCTGGAACGCACGAACGAGGTTGAATTTGGAGAACCACCACACTCGACCCAACGAGGCATCATTTGATACTAATCCTGAGCTTGTACATGTCCGTTACCATTTTCTTTTTTGCTCTGGTTCCAGCGTTCTCGACCTTCAAATCACTCGTGCGGCAAAGTTCACTTCCTCATCTGCTGCCATTTTTTCACTTAACATCAATATATCTCACTCCTGGTAGGAAAACTGGGCACAGCGTGGCGCAATCGATCCAGCGGAACCCCACCTACAATTGCAACAGTGCTTGCATGCAAAGGGTCGCCGGCCTCTCTTCCAATGAATGTCGCTCCAACTAGGACATTTTTCTCCGAGTCCACAACCCATTGGGCCCAACCGTCATAGTCCAACTCAGCATAAACCCATGCGCCGGGAAAATTGAAAGGGACTGCCACCTCTTGCGCTTTGATGCTTCTCTTCAACGCCTCCGCCAAAGTCAATCCACGGTAGCGACATGAGGATCAGTCACCACCACCTGAGAAACAGCTTCTTGGTCTGGTGTTGCGGTGAAACGGCTCCATGGCTGTGACGTTGTCACATTGACGCCTCAAGCCCGTGCGACAATGGTTTCTGCTATGGTTCGGCCCTCATATTCACCCATATGCGTCGTTGAGGCTCTCCCATTCGCATCTCCAATGGCATACAACCAGTTTCCAGGAACTGAAGCCACACCCATGTTCTGATCAACCAAGACCTGACTAGTGAAGCCCAGGACTTCCAATCCAATTCCTTTTGGTACAAGGCATCTTCCAGCAGCCAGAAGAACAGCGGAGCCAGTGATGACTTCTCCAGTCGAGAGCTTGACTGATGTCTTTGAATCGTTTTCCAGCCTCAGGCTCGTATCTGGATGAGCTCCGAGCCTGTCGCGATCACAACGGCATGCTGAGCTGACAATGTCTTTTCTTGCCCATTTGCATTCTTCACCAGTGCCCTCTTCTCGCTTATAAGCGATCCTCTGCCTCGAACAACCGTACATTTCTGCGCTAACGACATGTTGAGAATAGCTTCGTCATTCCGGCGATGCGTAATTTTGTCTCTTCCTTCGAAGACGCCTTGAACATCCACCAGTCGATCGCTAGCAATCAATCGCCGGGCTCCTCCAACTTGTCGAGCAGCAGCGAGGGCTTCTCCAGGACGCAACAATGCCTTTGATGGCATACATGCCCAATAAGGACAATCACCCCCCGGAGTTCATCTTCAACAATGACAGTGGCGAGTCTAGCGTTCTGCGCTTTGCTCGCGACTTGCCGACCCACGGGACCACTGCCAATCACGACAACGTCGAACGTCGTTGAATAAAGAGAGTCCGGGAGATAGTTCTCCGGGTGAAGATTCACATTACGAGGTGTCATTCTGTCGTAGGAGCAGTTGCCCCAGAGTCAATTCGAGTAACAGACTTGCCCATGTCTCGAGGGGTATGTGCGCTTAAATATCCTCTTCACAAAAGTACTCTCCTGAGAGATTCCAGGAACGCCAGTCAACCTCATCACAAACACCAACAGACTCCATAGGCTTGCAAAGGCATCCAGTCCTAAATCTTGGACACCATACCAATTGAACTATGTTCCTCCCCAACGGAAACATCCCCCTTTTTTCCCTCGGTGCAGGCATATCCCACGGAGGTAGGCCACAAGAGGAAAATAGTCTCTCCATTTCTCTTTGAATTATGGATGATCAAATCTTTGAAACAAGCCATGATCCATGCCTATGTATTCACGATGTCAAGTCAAATGCGTGTCCGAACCCCACACTCGACGTTTGAATGACAAAGGCTGTCTTTGTCATCTTGCAGCGTAGCAAAAGAGCCAGGCACATTCACGACCAGCACTGGCTTGTTTTGCTGGCTGTTCAAGCATAGCCCCAAGCTAACATGTTCTGATTACCCGAACTCTATAAGGTGTGTTTCCGATACCAAATCAAGCTTCAAGTCCCCACAGCGCATTTGCACGACCACCCTGCACTTCGATTTTTCCCCGTCGAACTTCTATGATCAACGATGAGGGCTCCTCAGGCCTTGTTTGCATGCTCAAGCCTTACCAATATTTCTTTGCAAGACTGGGGCTCAAGCCTTGTCTTGCAACCCAAGATCGAGACGACTTTGCTCCAAATTCAAGGCATCCTGCAAATACATCAACGAAGGTACCATGAATTCGGAGAGCAGATGCCGGATGCGCTCCAAAAATGAAGACCTTTGCTGACACAATCGAAACAACCTTGCAATATGTTTGGTCGAAATAGTACGTATCTCAACGTGGATGGTAGGCACCCAACGGCTTCAAGGTTTCCGGAAGCAGCGGATCAAATGCGTCTCGAGAAGGTTCTCCACAGTCACCAGATCAAAGTTACGCACCAGTGCATCATCACGCCTTTTCTTGCTAAATTCGAAGCTTGAGAGCAACTCCATGCCCATGCTCAGCACGCCGGCTGTAGGTCAAACCATCAAGTAGACCAATTTCTCGTTTGCGGTGGATCACATCTTGATCACAGCCTCGCCGCCTCCCTGCCCAGGGCAAAACAACACTCCTTTCTTTGAGTCCATTAGTCGTATTTCATAGCCCTCGGAAACAACATAATAGATATCCGCCACCCGATAACTTTACCTTTGAGGCCACTAAAACTTTCTGCCAACCAATTAGGACGAACCATTTGCGCCATCACACGGGGCCTTCACGGGAATACAGAGAAATGCCAATACAAGTTTTCCTCAAGACACCTGCCTGACAAGCCCAGCCTACCAAGCCTGAGACAGAATGTCACCGTCTATCTCAAAAAATATTGCCCAGCATCGCAAGCTCGCTGGACATAGATCGTGTCCAATTCTGTCTCGGTGCGGCGGATTCATATTCTGCAGCAGAATACTTCTATGTTGTAAGGGTTGCAGTCCGGTTCTCTTTGGCGCCTTGACCAGAGGCCGGTTAATGAGACTAATGGGGCCTAATACGACCAACACCTTCTACGAAATGGTTTATTCCACTCGCAACCCACCGTAACCCATAATCCACAATCGCAGACTCGAAAGGCCTAATCGGCAGTATTGAAGTGGACCCGCTCACCATCCCATTCTTGAGTCATGTTTAGCTATCGATAGCTATCTGCTACTGTAGTCACGAACGAAATTCAGACTGCGGAGGCACATCCTTCCCCTTCATTGGCTTCTCTCAGCAAGTCGCACGACCCCTTATCTTTCAAAATTCCGTGACAGTATTATCAAAGCTCACCATGCCCCCATTTGGGTGCAGTGCGTCATAGGGCGATCACAGCCTCGCAGGCCGGCTGCCGACATCTAGCTTTGCAGGATTTTTCCATAATCACTCATCACGCCCCGACTATGGGCCTTTCTTATCTAATGGCCAGTTGCTGCAGATAGGGGGCATATGTGCAAGCGAAGACGAGGATAGGTTACTATATAGCGAGTGTGAGCCAAAGGATGGGAAGAATGTCGAACGAACTGCTGATGAATATCTACCAGGAAATGGAAGCTATCTCAGTTTGACGACGTGAACAGCATCACGATTCACGGCTAGGGCGGCTATTCAGTGAGTCAATGGTGCTGACATACCACTCAGGATAATTCATACTTCAACGAACCAATGTTACTATTCTCCAAGAATACAATTACTCTAGATTAAGGTTACTACGGTGCAGTGCCCATAGTGTTGGAGGAATAACTATGTCACCAATCCAAATCTGATTAAGACACATTCAACCCAGCTCATACGCTCACAGCATCTTCTAAAACAGCATCTGCGCCTTTCTCGCTGATCATGTAGGTCGGTAATACGATATAGAAGCCGGGGATTTTGGGGAAGACACTTGCATCGACGACTCTCAGCCCATCAACGCCTCGAACGCGGAACTTCGAATCCAACACTGCAGCCTCATCATCATCAGCACCAATAGGGCAGGTGCAGCTGGCATGATGCCCCCATGCCTCCTTTTTAATCCATTCCTTCATCTCCGCCTCTGTCGTGGCATTATCTGCCGGCCAGACTTCCTCAAAGTCGCCCTGGAGAGGAATATAATCCTTGAACATCTCGCGCGACAGTTGCATGCCCTCGTAGGTGGCTTGGAGGTCCTTTTCATCTGCGCCGTCGGCCGTGTTCCCCGTGTCAAAATAGTTGAAGTTGATGATGGGAGTGTCGCGGGGGTCGGTGGAGCGTAGGGTGACTGTCCCGGCGTTGTTTCGCGAATGGGCTTTGAGGACGATCCACGACCAATGATGGGCATCTTTCAAAGATTCGTTGGCGTAGCCTGGGTGGTAGCCCGTGAAGAAGGCGGGCGCGCCAGAGATCAAGAGATCAGGGTCACCTTCTGCGACGGAGGACTTCTTAACCACGGCAATGGCAATGCCGTTGGTGGCGTAGGTGCCCTTGAGTGATGGTCCGGGAAGGTTTTGCCATTGTTCCAAGCATGGGTCGGGAGTCGTGCGGAGGAAGGTACAGTACTTGGTGATGAGAAAGTCGGTGTTGCTGTCTCCTACCACGGTGGTTTCGTATCGATCTTGCAAGTTCGTGCCCACTCCGGGTAAGTCGACGACAACGGGGATATCGAACTGGGACAGCTCTGAAGCGGGGCCTATACCGGAGAGCTTGAGCAATTGCGGCGTGTTGAAGGCACCAGCAGAGATGATCACTTCACGGGTGGCGTTTACATGACCCGGGGTGCCCCCGGATGCTGTGCCAGCACGAGGGTCGGCGCGGTAGAGACTGGGTCCTTCGAGGAAGTCGACACCGACCGCTTTTGGCTTGGTTCCGGAGGTATCGAAACGTACCTTCGAAACCAACGTGTTGAGCTTGATGTCGAGATGGTATTTGCGTGATCCGTCCGCATTGACTGCGTTCGCGGTGTCGAGGATAAAGTCGCGAGGGCCGTTACGTTTCTTTGAGACCTCGGTGACGGCTATTGGGACCTGGTAAAGTCCCTCCTGAGAGTCTCTGGTGGGGGTGTCTGCATTGATATCGCGTAGTAAGATCTCCGCCAGCCCCGTCACTGTGTTGATGACTTTCCCGAGAAGGCCCTGGCCCATCGCCGTCCCCGCGGCGATAATGAGCGACAAGAGCTTCTGGTCCTCCACAGCAAGCGACAATTCCGTCAGGCTAGTCTCCAGCCAGCCATTGAACCCGTGACCAACGACACCGTTCGGGAGATACCTGCTGCGTTCTAGCCGTTCCATATATTGGCGCATATTCCCCGCATTCCAAGAATCGTCGCCGGTTATGGAAGCGATGTTGTCCCAGTCGCTCTCATGAGGGTAGATGGTAATCATCGCATTGTGTGCCGAACAGCCTCCCAGAGTTCCGGTACGTGGATACCAGATTCCCAAAGGCGATGAACCAGGTGGAGGGCTGTTTCCGACATAGTGGTCACCCGACGGCGTCTCCCAAACCATTTTGGAGTCCTGTTCTTGCCGTGCTTCATCCTCATAATGGTTGACAAAGTAATCCCACCGCATTGGCTCGTATTCTGTGGCTTGCAGCTGCAATGCTGGGACCTGTTGAAAGATTGCATCCCCATCGTCGTCTCCAGCGTCAATCAAGAGGACTTTGTAGCCCGCAATTGCCAGTCTTGATGCTAGAGGGCCTCCTCCAGGGCCACTACCGACGACAACATAGTCGTATGCTGTAGCGTTGTCCGCCTGTGTCGTCGTCTGTGTCGTGTTGGTGCGTTTGGGAAATCTATGATGCAAATGCCCGTGTCCCGCCGTCCTGATTAGTCGTCATGTCAGTGCACGGGAATGTTTCAGCACACCCGTACTTACAAAGCTGTCACAGCCGGGCCCAAGAGAGTGATGAGTGTAAACAGCTTCATCATCACGAGGTATGGGGGTGCCAGCCACAAGGTCTCCCTCTCCGTTCTCAAATGAGTGACTAAAGGTCAGTCAAAGGAGTGACATGAAGATTGAATGAACGGAACCATCGTAGTTACGAGAAGTAACTTATATTTCGGGAGCCATTTGGTTCCGCTTCATTGTACAATGCATATCATCTTAGATGGGGGGAAATTGGCTCGTCCAGCTGTGTGCTGGTCGGCGGTGGCTGAACATCTGGTGGAATGGTAGCGAAGTGGCCATCGTCCTCCAGCGAATCGAAGGACAGTGGAGCAGCCTCACGATTGTGCTCAAACGCCTACATAAAAACTGGAGCAAGGCTGAATGTTTACTGGCCGACTCCTGCCCTGAAATTCCGAGTGCATCGATCGACAGCGCTACTAGCCGTTGAACACTTCCGCGGTGGGTCCCCTGGCAGCCTTGCGTCAGCTAGCGAAGTCTATTGTTCCAGGATCCTGGCTCAAGTTGGGGGCGTGCTTTTCGTGCATGTCGATCAGCCCCAGTGACTTTGGTCAGGAGTCAAGCACGACATGGTACCATTCACGCCGGAGGAGCAGATTCATCGTAGATGAAAATGTTCGCTGAGTTGCTGTGACCAAATGCCATTCAATGTACAATAATTCTTCACAGCTCACCACTTGTGGTGGACTCGTCGTTTGGGGGAGGCCGTCGATCGTATCCTCGTAGGTTTTTATGGCCGTTATTGAAGAACCACCGCTATAATAGATATACATTCCAAGTTCTCGGATGACCTCTGTAGGTATGCACAATAGCAGGCCAAAGTGGCCACAAACCCACTGCTGCGTCTGGGCAGTTGCTTCATGGTCAAGTGGTCCTGTGAGCAGCCTGCCTACAACGCAATACCCGGACGAACGTCTTTCACGTTCTCGAGGTCAACCAGACGAACAAAGTCCTCTCCACCGTCCTTGCGCCTCTCTAATGCTATTCCTGGAGTCCTAGCTCCGCTCCGACCACCGGAAGTGCCATTTCCTGTACTTTTGCTTTGAACTGTTCCACTAAAGACCTGAGGGAAGTAATATTTGAACAACGAGTATAGGGCCGGCATGCAAGCGCAGATGACTCCAACATCCATCTCAATGCAGGACCAATAACCAAAGGCTGTACCGTCCCACGAGACATTGGGCGATGTGGCAAAGTGAAAGAGGGTTTCTAATCGCAGAATGCTGACAATGGTGACACTAGAAAAAAAGTATGCTGTTAGAGATCGTCTGATAACTTGAAGAGAGTGTGTGTGTGGAGAGAAGAGCATGCACACTCACAATCCTCCCACGCTTAACATAATCATTATCTGCACCTTTTTCTTCCAATGTAGGTTGAGTTTGGATATCAGTCTTAGCGGCATGATGAGGATGACAAGATCGAGAGCAATGTTGATGGCGGCGGCAGCCCATCCCTGCGCATTCACATTATTGCAGACACCTTCATGTTCCCCATCCCAGTGCGTCCATGCTAAGCTCACAGGTCGACACTGGAAGACGGAAACGAGGATAAACGCAATCATGTACCCCACGGTCATGGCCATGGTACAAAAAGCTACCCGACGAAAATTCTTCTCGGGAAAGACTCGGAGGTAAAAGCAGAGGATAGCCAACTTGGTCGTGGAAATAATGGTGATATAAAGGACCTCGTCAATGAAATAAATCTGGTTCCTGTATGAGCAGACTGTCTTCCACCAACAGTTTACGGGGTTTCACGCAGACCTTGAGAATGAGTGTGATGCTGTCAAAGGGAATTGTCCAGATATCTTTTCCAAAGCCGTTATTGGCAACTGGAGTCGAAATCAGCCTTCCCATCTGGAAGAGCGAAACACGATACTTACGTGGTACGGACAGCGCTGAGAACGCTATAAGAAGGATCTGATCCCGGTTTTAGCATTCACAAATAAGATGGGACATAATTTTTCTCGATCTCACCATTGCCACAGCGATGTTGAAATCGTCGTAACCAATGCTGGCTGCAGGGACAATAAATTTTGCGCAAATGCGGACCACGAAGACAACGAGGGCGACAGCTCCTCCTCCCACTCCGAAGCCGGAGACAAGGCTGCTTCTGTCTCGTATCGGAGCACCGCAGGCGGTTAAAGATACATTTTGGGTAGCTTTGATGAACAGTCAGGCTCAGGTTCTCAATGTCGCTATCCTTGTGATGGAAGCTTACTCAATTGTTCCCTGATGGTACAATTGCTTGCCACGCATGCTGTGACAGTCTCTGCCAATTGCTTATTGGTGCAGATACATGCCTGATCCGTCGCAGAGCAATTGGATTGGGCAATGCCTGCCATGGTACAGTCCAGCTACATCTGTCAGCGATGGGAAAGGCTTGGGGTCCCAGCCATACCACTCACACCACATTGGGGATAAAGAGCCGCCGCCGACTCGAGGTCGGCGGTGACAACAGAAAGTAGGGCAGCAATCCCGAGAAAGAGAACAGCCGTAACAGACTTCATGGTTCTTCGGTGATGTCTGATGAAACTTGTGTTTTGTCTTAAACGATAAATGAAGAGAGAACAGCAAAAGCAGGGTACATATGTGCATTGATCATATACTATAGACCAACAGGATGCTAGACAGCAAGGAAGATACTCTCCTATAGTTCTGACCTTTTCAATTCTGTGGGCCGCTCAAACAGAGCTTCAGCAAGGATTTTGATTCGCTCGCTGCTTGGTTCACCCAGTTATCATGGCTCCTCCTTGAATGGAGCCAAGGACCCACGCGATAGAGTCTCGTTGCTGGTTGAAGTGTCCTGTATCTGGACCGGAAAGCTGGGTGGCCCACAAAATTGAAAAGCTCAAGACAGAGGAGAGTCCTGCCAGAAGGTGTTCAGACAAACGTCCAAAATCGAACATAACACCAGAATTTCGTGACCAGGATCGGATGCGGGAGTAGATCCTTTGGCATTTCTCGTGGTTGGGGCCCTTCTTTAAAGATCAGCGCTCTCAATGTCATCCATGCATTGGAAGCTACAGATCACCCCACCAAATCGGCTGGCCCACATATTATGTGGGTTTGGGGGAATATAGTATGAAGGGCGGTGTGGACTGGAGGCAATAATATACTACGCAAGGCGGTGGACCCTCTGTTGATTGGAAGGTTAGCTAGGCGAAATCACAACTAAGCCTAGAAAAATATATATTCCTTGCTTAAGCATGTTTTAGGATTTCCTCGTTTATGGAAATCAGCAATACTCCACACTGTGCTCCTGTCAATCTTCTGCCCAGTTTGCTGGTAGCCTCGAGGTACAGGGATATACCCAGCCTCATATTCAGCCCACTATCCTTTTCTAGCCGCCACTATCAAAGAACACGCCAGGAAGGGCCAAGGAATTCCTTCAACCTTCATGGATCCTGCCTCAATGAAAATGAAAACGCCAAGGACCCACAACCAACCTTACTTTGGTCTGCAGCCATTCAAATATATTGGGCAATATCCTAGAAGCAAAGGTCCCAGGTCTCCGGAATCATGGTACCTACAAATTCTATGATGGCCCTGGTTGCGCTATCCGATAGATCAGCTTAGCCCTCTTGGAGACATTTTGGGCGGGCAAGTCTATAGGATGCAGCTCTTCTCGTCTTTCTGCAAGGCCTACATGAGAGTGCTCTTCTACCGGCGTTACCTGTTGTCCATAGTATCGCAGTCTTGTAGGTCATGTGCACCAATGGCCGATCACTGAGTTTCTCACCGTTTCCAGAATGCTGGCAGCTCCTGGGCATCCTTCTTCAGCAAACACAAGACCAGGCCGAGTAGGAGGGGATCGACAGATTCACAACGTAGAGAGTAAACCGTTCCCCACTTTCCTCATAACATGGCAACATACAACGACCAAGTCGTCCCCCGGTTGGGAAGATGCCCGTTGTCTCATCTCATAGCGAGTCGACACCGGACCTGGTTCTCATCCCCCCGAACACTAGCCAGCCGCATTAGTCAGGGGCCATAGCAATGGACGGTGCGGTGCCGGATGCGGCGTCCCCCGGAAAGTGGCCTGGTACCAGGGCTGTTGGGCACTTGGGCTCCTGAAGGATCCATGTGGTCACGTTGATCTTTGCAATTTGAGACCAGTGGTATCGACTTTGGCCCTCTGCCCAAGTCCCAACTCTCCCACGCTTGGAAGAGCGTCGGTAAAGGTCGTTAGATCCAATTCGTCTACGGTCTCTTATTTTCGCCTAAGGCAGGGAGAGGAGGGAGTGGGTTTTTCCTCAATATCTAACCCCTCGTCGCCACGGACGATGAACGCATCAAATCTGCGTCGAGGGATTTCTATGACTTTCATGCTACAAGCAGTATGGTCCCATAGCCCACATCCGCAGTTCCACGTCTGGGAGATGACTCGACGTCCGTTGCAAGCTTCGTAGACGACCGTGCGAAGTCCTGGTCGCCGATGGCTGCCGCTGCTGCTACCAGTCTTCAATGTTGAGATTCTTCTGTTCCTGACATTGCTTTGCCAGCATTTACCAACTCACTTTAGTCGCTCTCTTGGGTACGTCGCTCTTTCGCCCAGCACCTTTGTTGTTCTTGACTTTGCTGGAAATGAAATTCTTTCTTTCGTGTTGGGCCGCACTACTGGGTAGCTGTGTCCTTTCCTCTGCTTTTCCCACGGCCGCCAATGTTGCCATTCTTGCGCGATCAGGTGGACTGGACATCCCTGACGACTTATCCTTCGATGACATCGTTCGTCACGTACAACATCAACGGGAGAAAAGGCTCCTCATCAATCCTTTAGATACACCAATTGAGGGTATGATGGGCATTCAGACAGTCTAAGAACCCGGGGCTGATGCAGAACAAGTTGACGGCGAGCATGAATGGCAAGCTCCCGACTTCGAGGCAGGCGCGCAACGAGGTCCATGTCCCGGACTCAATGCACTAGCCAACCATGGGTATATTGATCGGTCTGGAGTGGCAAAAGTAGGCCTCGCTTCAAATATCTCGATTTCAGTCACCAGTCTAACAATGGCGCCGCCAGTTTCTCGACGTGATCGGTGTCATGAACCAAGGTGAGTGTTTGAACAAGTGCAATTACTACCCCATGATGCTGATGACCAAGGCAGTGTACGGAATGGACGTCGGTCTATCGACAATCCTCTCAGTCATGGGTACCACTTGGCGCCTCAAAATTCAAGACCATCAAGCTAATCCCACACAGGCACCGTTTGGACCGGCAATCCTCTCTCCTTGAGCCCCGGCTTCTCTCTCGATGGATCGTCCCCCCAGGTCCAGAATCTCCTCGGAAACTTGCTGGGGCTCCTGGGGGAACCTCGAGGCATTGGAAGGTCACACAATTGGCTGGAGGCAGATGCTTCGCTCACTCGCGACGATCTTTATGTTACAGGTGACGCTTCCACCATGAATATGGACCGCTTTCTAAAGCTCTACAACCGGCCGGGAGATGGTACCAACGTCATTTCAACAGACGACGTGCTGGAGCATGCGATCGATGCTCTCCACGAATGCATAGCCACCAATCCATACTGTTGGTACGGACCATATACCGGGGCCATTGCTCGCAATGCTGGAGTTGCCTTTGCTCTTCGATTGCTGGCGAACCACTCGACGGAGAGTCCTGATGGAATCATGAGTAAGTGGCAAGTCAGCCAGGTCCTTGAGGGGGTAGTGCTAATGTGGTGGCCCAGCTAAGGATGTGTTCAAGTCCTTCTGGGCCGTGGTAGACACCGACGACGGCGAACTCGAGTACAAACGGGGCTGGGAGCGCATCCCCAACCACTGGTTCAAGAGACCCGTCGACTACGGCCTGGTGCAGCTGAACCTGGACCTCGTGGACTGGTTCGTCAGGTACCCGGAGCTGGCTTCAATCGGAGGTAATACTGGGACTGTCAACTCGTTCACACCACTGAACATCTCTGATCTTTCTGGCGGTCTACTGAATGCCGAGACGCTGTTGGAGGGCAATAACCTCCTCTGCTTCGTACTCCAGATTGTCAAGACAGTATCTCCAGACTCTCTGTCCAGCCTCTATGCAACCTTGGCCAAACCTTTGGAGTTGCTGACCGACGCCCTGGGCTCAGCACTTGAACCTTTGACATGTGCACCGTTCGAAGATCTCACGTATGGGGGACAACCGATCTGGGAATCGTTGACGCACATCTTCGCCGGTGCAGAACGGGCTGGTTCACCATTGTGAAGGTCGGAGTAGATACTTGAATGTATTCCCACGGTCGTAATAATTCATTAAATTGCTAGTCGCCGTTGCGAATTGAAATCCCAGATAACAACTTCTCCGCCTCCGTTTCGATCGCCTCGGTCGCCTTAAACAGCATCTGCGGCCCAACACTGATCCGACTAACCCCCAGCTCCGCGATTTCCTTGACTGACAGTTTTCCCGGAACCATGAGTTGACAAGAGACATTCAATCGGCCATCGAATTCCTTGACGAGACGCTTGATTTCCTCCGTCTTGACGCCGCCGCGGGAACGGCCACCCAGCACGAACACGGATGTGGCACCGGCGGCTAGGTACATTTTTCCACGTGTGAAAACTTCTTCCATATCGCCGCCGTGGAGGAGCACATCGCAGCGCGCATTCAGCACGAAATCCGGGATACCTTCAGCCCGAGCGACGGTTAGGGCACGCTTGATGCGGTCGACGGCCTCGTCCGGCGCGTACATTTCGTTGGTCTCCATGTTGCAGTCCTCCAAATTGCAGCCTACGGCGCCGCGTTCGATGAGGCCCACGATGGCTTCTTCGAGCCGATCTCCATATGCGTCTTGGATGTCGACGGTCAGTGGCTTGTTGAATTCACATGCGACTCTGCCGATCCTACGGACTGCTTGGAGGTTGGTTTCGAGGGTCAAGTCTTTGTCTTCGAGGCCGTAGGCACGGGCGACGGCGAAGGATGCAGTGGCTAATGCTTTGCAAGATGGCAGGCCTGCGACGACCCTAGATGATGGGATGTCGTATACATTGGCAAAGATGACGGGGTTGCCTGGCTGGTGCAGCGCTTTGAGCTCTTGGGCTTTCTTGTTCAGACTGGCTGGGTCCATGCGGCACGAATTTTGCTGGTTCTGTGAGACTTGGATGGCAGCTCTTCGGTTCGCGAGATAGGAGATGAAAGAGCCAGGTCGAAGCGCTAATGCTCTTTGATACTTTATAAAGGATGAAATGGACCAGCCGTGAATTGATATAGACATCAACTCGCCGAGAATGAGTGAGAGTAACGAACTGAATTGGGGCTGATTATATATATTCTGATTTTTGACCTCATCGACCTGAAGTTTTCCTATAGACAGGATGACCTTTCATGTAGTTCCGGTGACTCAGGAGTAGAAAAATCGTATGATTAATAACGGAAACGAAGTTCGTCCGAATACGATGTGGTAAATACGAATACACGGCCTAACCGAAGTCCGACAGAACCCAACATCGTCATTGCAAGGGTTTCAGCGGCGACCTCGCTTGGACATCGTCTCACGAGGATCGGCCAACTCAATAGGCCTCTCCATAATGTCGCCAGATCAAGGTGTTTAAGGCTGGATGTCATACACATTACGAGTGTCCCTCGACCCAGCATCCCTTGCTATCGCCTAGGAGAGAATATTCCCCGCGGGTGGAGGATCATGGTCTACAAAAGGGTTAGCCCTTGCGAGATGTGCTCCTTGGGACTTATCGCGAGGAACTGGTTCGATCTGCGGCGGATGGTACACCAAGGACAGTTTCACGAATGCAAAGCTGGTGTCTGCTTCCGTCGAAATCGACATGCCTCGACGGTCCTTGCTCGGCCAGCGGTGAATCCCCAGTATTGAGACCCAAGACAGAAATTGGAAATGAGCCTGGCTTTCCCATCGGACTCGTCGTTTCTGTCCCATGCTTCTTGACGTGGAGTGGATCTTGACTAGTGCAAGGGAGGGCTCAGTGGAGGTGAGTCCTAGAATCAACGAGACTATACCAATTCGCCTGTCGCCTCTTCCATGTCCTGATCTCTGGAGAAATCAACGCTGAAGAATCTTATTAGCACCTTCTCGGACGGAGTATCTTGCTGCTCTTCCGATGCATGAGTTCGTTCCACCTGCATCAATATTGTCGATCATCCAAGCGCACAGTGAAGAACTGTTGGAAATCGGTTGTTTCAGGGGGTCTTTCGGTAGGGATGATCACCATGTTGGACCACTTGGATGACAACAACTTGAATGACGGAAGTTTTGGGATATCTAGTTAGCCGCAGAACAGCGAGGTCGACTGACCGTTACTAGCTTGACCCGGCTAGGCGTGGATATGGTTGAGACCTCAACAGGCAGCTCTCACTCTATCTTCGAATCTTCGTAGGATTTCTCTATGAGAACCTAGAATCTGGAGCAATTCGAATACGTCGTCAACTGCGCCACCATCGCTCTCACCCAGAGATATAAGGATTCTTTTGTCTGGCCATAATACCAGCTCCACTCCGTGGGGTCCTGCCGACTAATGTAAATCCCATCAGCCCAAAGGAGACGAGGGCGGGCTTGATGGCAGGAGGTTTCGAATGCGGATGAAAGGTCCAACCCGATCCCGCGGGAGTGGCCGTCGCAAGTGATGGCGTCTCCGTCAAAGCTGTTACCTCAGACGTCAGATATAGCCTCATAGTTGGGGAGTGCTGCGAGAGGTGGGGCTACAAGAGTGCCCGTAAGGCGGGCGGAAGGCTTCCCATGGTCAAATCTGAAGATACGGATCGACTCTACCTGTAGGATGTACAAGATGATTAGCGGTCGAGACTGACGGCCAGGATGGAATTGTTCATATGTTCGGTGGATCATACCGATAGCCTGAAATCATGATCAGCCTCGGCCCCAAGACCTTCCTTCAGATTACTCGTCGTTGAGGAATGAAATGAGGGAATGAATACATTTTCAAATATAGGAAGGGGATTGCGAGGCTGCAAAATGATACACCGGATGTCAAAGAGAAGATAGGGAGGTTTGATTCCCAAGAAATGCAGAGGCGTGTTGTAGTGCAGCAGACGCCAGCCTCCAAAGCCAGCATTCCTATGCCAACCAGCTCTCCACATATGAGAGCTCCATTGAGCACCAACTGGTTTATGAACTCTTAATATGACCTCGGGTCAACCTATACCATCCCAGCCCAAATGCCAACCAACTCACACCCAATAGTACTGGTGCCCCTCTCTTCTGCGGTTCTCCATGACTCTCTTTGAATTCATCGTCCACCCATTTGGTGCCTGGGTACAGAATGGCGCTCAGTTGTGTTACCCAGTACAGACTCGACATGAGAGTTGCCGTGAACAGGTTATCCAGCAGCCCTGGCGAGGAGCCGGTGTTGGTGGTTCGCCAGGTGTAGTAGAAGGTGAGCAGGCCGAGACCGAGACCGGTGCTCATGGTTTGGCCGTTGTGAAATTTGGCATGAGGAGTCCATTTGGGATTGAAGACGTGAGTTTCGTTCCAATCGGCGAGGTAACCTCCTGCTGCAGAGGCCAGGCCGATCAGGCTGAGGATGATCCGGGTAGGAAGAACTGCAGTGGAGGCGTCAGACATAGTGATACAAGGTGGCAGCCGGCCAATGTCAAGGTGTTCGGAGGACGGGGAGCTCGTCGACGGTGGCAATGCGTCAATGCACTACAAGATGAGTTGGGACTAATGCAAGAGTGACAACATTGAAGGAACAAGGACGTTCGACGTCGGAATCTCGACATGAGTATTTTCCAATTCCGTCTTTGAGCCTGGGCGGTTGCTGCCTCAGCCGGAGCAGTTCTGAGCAGCCTCTGCACGTGCCTGATTGACTTGGTTGGGCCTGGAGCCAGGGTGCCTGGAACGGGGCACCCGCGTATAACTACCCAGGGGCCTCCGAAGGTGGTGCTAAAAGTTTACGGGGTCGAGGGCGCAATTGGGCGACACTGCTCTCACGCCATTGTGTCTAGGTGAACAATTCATTGCTCGACCGCATCAAGGCGCGAGTGGATTCTATCGCGACACTGAAAAGATCCATCTTTCTCTCAAACGCCTTAGCAACTGTGATTCTAGTTGTATGAATTGTCATACCCCTACGCTCAATCCTCAGAGCAATTTTCCTATTGAAACCAGACGTCCCCGTTAAGGCTCAACCCTTGGACTGCTCCAATAACAAGGCCTGCGAAATCGATGTTGGATGGCTATGGCAATGAGAAACATTCTTCAATGGCTTATTGTCAGAGTTCGTCCAATTGCCCGATTTGTCGCATCTCGTGTTCGATTGCCAATATTCCGTGGATGGCCAAATTCTTACGAGATGATCCCCACGAAGGGAAACATTGTCCAATTTTTACAAGACATGGAAGGGGGCTGCGTCTCAGATATCTGCTTCCTGAAGAGCCTTACTGGATTTTGGCGCTTGACAAAGACTAAACTGGAGACTGCAGACAAGTTGGAAGATTTCAGACGTCACCCCGAAACATGCAATATCCCTGCCGCGATTGGCGCATCTAAAGCCGATGCTTTCATGCGCGACATCCAAAACGTGAACCACGCCCTGCTGCAATCTACGCATCCCAATGAGCTCTTGGCTGACCTCGAGGAGGCTGACGACGGCCAGTATGCACACTCTGCGGCTCGGTCATTCACAGAATTGTTCGTCCACTGCAGGGACGGACAACTGGATATGACCACATTCTTCGACATAGAATTCATGTACACGAAAAGCAAATTCCACGCAATAAAAAGGGGCGCCGGAAACATCATTCATATCACGGTGTTTTGTTTCGATTATTTCAATCCGAGTTTCTCCCTGGGATGTCTCGTGGAGACGATATTGATACGTTGGATCTCGACCGGGAAAGAGCCGCATTGATCTCGTCTTGTCAAAGAATTGCCGTACCTTACTATTACGGTTTTGTTGAAGAGCAGGCTAGAGTGTCCGGTGAACATTGGAGCACGATTATTTTCAGGGATGCGTCTAGAAAGGTGACAGCCTCTCCTAGCGTCTCAAACCAACGCGAAGATCCCCCTGAAAGACGCGCCTGGCTGGACCAAGCTCAGGCCATTATGCATATGAAGAATGTACAATCCTTTCTCGAGAAAATGAGAGGCAGCAGTGGCGAGCTGGGACTTGAATGGAAGAACTCCATCTCCGAAAGCACTTGGTGGAGGATTCCCCGAGAAAAGGTTAGCGCAACCATGAATTCCTCTCCATGGTTGGAGAATTGCGACAATAGCCACGAGCTACCGTACCACCTGTGGGACGTAAGACAAAGGCGAACCGTGGTTGTCGAGAACCTGGAGGGACCCGTTGAGTATACTGCGATTAGCCATCCATGGGGACGTGCAAGAAAAAGGGACTCGTTTTCCGCCCGCATCCCAGGGCTTGATTGGTGGGCGGTACCACAGAACACGAAGATCGAAGTTTCAGATCCTCCAAGAAATTTTGGTTTCTTGTCCTTTTGCGACCCCCTATATATGGATTGATCTGTTGTGCATTCCGCAAGATGTCGAAGACGCAAACCTCAAATCTATGGCGATCCGTGAGATTGGACGACAGACGAAGATCTTCCAAAGCGCCAGATTTGCCGTGGCATGGCTGAATGATATAGATAGCTGGAACGGATTAGAAAGAGCAATCAGGCTGCTAGCGGTATTCCGTCTAAAATTGGAAGACCAGCTGGAAATTTCCTCCTCATTGTGGAAATCAGTCATGAAAGATGATTTTGTGTCTTTAGAACTCCTATTGCCCGGGCCTCACGTTCATGACGATAGCAATGCGTCGTTGAACGGCTGGCTGACATCGTTATGGACCTTGCAAGAATTGTGCCTTCGGCCAGATATGCGGTTGTGCAACCAACACTGGGAGATCCTCCCGGTTGGAAGCATCAATCGTCATTGCGATATCGGTCTCGATGACATTGCAGCTCTATCCTTATATGTCCTACAAGTCATTCCAGACGAGGAGAGAAATACTCAATCTACGGATGCCTCCCTCCGAAACCAGTGCGTGGTCTCACGAATCTTCGAAGAGTTACGTTCTCTTGAAAGAAAGGGTCACTTGGTCACTCTGCTGAATGCCCCACGCTCCTCGATCTTACAAGCGTGCGCCGATAGGTATTGCGAGCGAAATAGAGCCGAAGCCATTATGTCCGCTATCGGTGTTACAGACTGGTATACAGAAAGAACGCAGACGGGTGAGGAGACATCCGTTGGGGGCTCCGCAAATGAATATCCATTATCTTTCGTGAGAGAAGCCGCAAAGAAACTTGGTGCCACATTCTTTTTCGCCAGTGGCATCATATGGAACGTGAAGAGATTGCTTTTGGAGTCGACTCCACTTCCCACCGGTGCAAGAAACGCCATCTGCTCGATGATGCCCTTCAAGATAGTCTTACAGCGCTTGACGAGTGGATAGACAAGTTCATTCCGCCGTCTAGGAACGTTGCGATTGCCCTATCACAAGATGAGAAAGAACATAACGGGATTTTCCTCAAGCAGATCTCTGAGCGCGAGTTTGTCCAGATAGGAATGTTTTCAACTTTTCGTGAACCGGAAATTGACATCTTGTATTGGAGGGTTGATTGGGTTGTCATTTGAATAGTACTGTAGGCCAAGGGGTTCTAGCTTATGCTAGACTACATTCGTTTCCGGAACATACATAGGTAAAAGCAGCTACTCCAGCAGATAGTTCTAGTTAGCATATACATTCTCTTACCGCCGCTACAACAACAGAGAGGTGGCGTCACGTGTGAAAAGATTCCAGATGGCGGTTTCGCTCATTTTGTTAGTTTTTTTTGGCGGCACACGTTGTGCCTCAACTTATCGGCATCCTTGCAGCCTGATCCATTTATCTAGACTTTGATCACTCGTATCTGCATGACGAGCTTTGCTATATCAAACCGCTTCGTCATTTCTCAGAAAAGCTATGCCAACCGATCAACTGGAGGTTGGCATCGTCGGAGCAGGCATAGCAGGTCTGTCAGCCGCTATCGCGCTTTCCAGAGCAGGACATTCGATCGAGCTATATGAAAAATCCAAGTTCCGGAATGAAACCGGTGCCGCCATTATCATAGGACCGAATGGAACGCGAATCCTGTCGAAATGGGGCTGTGATTTTGACCAGGCCGGAGCTCTGGACTACAGCCAAATGCGCCGGATCCGGGCAGACACCACCGAAGTTGACTCGGTAGAATTCTTCACCGACATCAAAGAAAAGTACGGTGACAGATGGCTGCTTTTCCACCGAGCAGATCTCCATGCAGGGCTGAAACAACTGGTGGAGGCACGACAACCTCAGCCCCAGATACACCTCGGCACCGAAGTGGTGGATGTGGATGTCGACAACGGAGTCCTCCGGCTTGCCAACGGCAATGAGGTGAATAAAGACCTAGTCATCATTGCCGATGGCGCACATAGCGAACTTATTGCCAAAGTCATCGGCCGTCCGTATCCTGTCACCAAATCTCCCATGTCAATGTACCGCTTCTTGCAACCATTCAAACGAGTGCTCGCCCACCCTGAAGCTGGTGAATTCTACAAGGGCCAGCTGCCGGGATTCACCACCTTCTACAAGACAGAGGTGGGCCGACCTGGTCTTCTTATCAATACTTACCCCTGTCGCGGTGGAGAGCTTTTGTATGTGGCGCTTGTGCATCCTACGAAGCCCAAGGAAAAAGGCATTGAAGGCTGGGATTCACCAGCAGACTACCAGGACGTGATCTCAGATGCCAAAGGATTTCATCCGGCGGTTCAAGCGATCTGTGACGATGCCACCGAAGTCAAGGTCTATACCCAAATGTGGAGAGATCCCATTGAGAAGTATTCAAAAGGCCAAGCCATCTTAGTAGGCGATGCGGGCCATCTCATGTTACCCACTCACGGCCAAGGTGCGTCAATGGCTTTAGAAGACGCCATGGCATTGGAAGTGCTCTTTCAGGATGTCAAATCTCCCTCAGACGTGCGGTCCCGAGCGCAAATTTTCGACAAGCTTCGCATTCCTCGAGTCAGCGCCGTGCAGACAATGTCGAACAAGATGGTGGGTCCGCCCGACAAGATGATGGCGGAGGTGAAGAAGTATTATGATGGGCAAATCCCCAGCCCCAAGGCCAAGACATTCTCTCAGGAGTACAATGACTTCTTCTTTTTGTATGACATTGCAGAAGAAGCAAAGAAATTGATCAGTGCTTGAGGGTGACAGATACCGGCAGATCTTCTTGATGTATGGCCCTTTCTAGAACAAATCAGGCTCAATGGCAAGCATCATAATACGAGCTTATCTGGAGCGCCCACCTCCCCGAACATAGTCTTGGTGTCCCCCTTCCCAAACGCGGGGAAGTATGCTACATTTTATCTCTATAGCTTAAAGGGATAAGCCTATCGCCACGATGGTACCTCATTTTTGTGTTGCCACATTCGACCGCGAGACACTGAACACATACCTACAGAACTTCCTCAGTTTGCTGGGGTATTGGTGTACAGCGTACTTCGTGATCCTGTTCAACGAACACGTCATGGAATTTGGACGACTACGATCCCGAGGGCTAGAGCGATCCGTGTCGATTACCATCGGGCTTTGGCGCATTGACGACGTTTGGATTCAGTGTCGCGGCCTAGTGCATAGGCATGGTTGACGCCATTACGAAGAGAGAGAAGGGATTACCGACTGCTTGAAAATACATTCTTTACGGCATTCGAGTTCAACCTCCGATTCAATATTTGAAAGAATTTCATAGGATGCCTCTCAACTCAGTCCTATGTCACGTATCACACCTGAGGATCTGTTACGCCGGGTTTTCCTAACAAGGAGGGCGATAATATGGCCGGAAAATTATGCACGGAGGCTGGTACAGAGCAAGTCGATGTACCGACTGGTAGGGGTATGATTGAAGATGAAGTTGACAATGTAGTGATATCGTGAGACCATATAGACATAAGTTCTCTACCCCCTCTACCCCTCTACCCAAGCATAGCCCACAGAGGAACGGAAATCATGTCATCTGGCCTTGCTCCCAAGGCTGGCCTGCCGCCATACGTTCCTCATGTCCTTTCGCGATTGCATAAGAGGCCGGATCCGTAACTTCCTATCAGGGCAAGCAACTTTCCTCCCTGACCTGGTCAGCATCTTTCCGTAAGCGTTTTGTGATAGGACTTAGCTCCAAACAACCTGCAGCTGAGTAAATGGCAATTCAATTCTTTAGGCCCCGACAAGCCGACGAACCTGTAATACGTCAGCATATACGCATCGAACAGGCCAGATCAGCAGGGGCATATGGTCATCTCCTTCTGTGGAGATGCAATATATGTTAAGTGAGCCGCCGGATCCGTCGCCGTTGACGTGCCAATAGCACTCCGCGATCTTCTTGAGCGAGATTAGTAAACCTCCGGGACGTCGTCATGATATATACTGACTCGTGTGCGTGACGCAGGAACACTGACGCACTGGTGCCAAAATAGCAATGTTTCCCACAGGTCGTTAATGTCGAAAGTCGAGGAGAGGAGAGGGAGGTTTCCTAGGTACCTACCCGAATATGATAAGCACTTTTGGTCGGGTTTTGATCAGGCAGAAGAACATGAGAAAGAAAGGGGTGAGAAGATATTATTTGACTGGCACTCAGAGTGACTGATTCCTTCGTATCGTTAAGCAACTAACAGCCTCGTCGAATCTAGAAGTATCTTTTACCAAGTTTGTCGTAGGTTAGTCAGTGTTTCTTCGGTAATAACTTGACAGAAATATATTCCGAAGGGAGTAAATACCTCATCTCTATTCATCTGTGACCTATGATCCATGAATCTGGGGTTTGCCTCTTGATACCAGCTGGTTAGCATTCTCTTACCCGCGGCCCCCGGCCTTCTCCCGGTGCTCATCTGAGTTACCTTGGGCAAGCACCTTCTCGAGTTGCACCCACTCCGGTACAGTGTGTCTCTCCGCAACCCAGTGCTGGGCATAGATAAAGCCCTCTGTCACTGCTTGCAGAAGGATATCGCTGTGCTGCACGTCCACCCAGCATTTTGCCTCCTGTGCCGTGCGAGTAAGTAGGCGCTGGTACTGAGACGTAAGTGCAGCTGCAAAACAGTTCTGTCCTCTGGAAACGGAAACCCCCACGAGAAGCAACCAAAGCAATAAGTCTCGTCGTGAAACCCACAGGTCGCCATTGCTTGACTCATCAAGCATGACCAACAGCTTTTCTGCCAATCTCAATGGAACGAAAGACGAATTCCAAGTTGATGTCGAAGACATGTAACAGACGATGTACACTGAGATTCGACAGCACTCTGCAATTGGTCCAGGCTCTTGTTGGGGGCTTTCAGGGAAAATGAGACGAGATTCGATCGATGTTTGTAGATCATTCACTGTTGTCTGATCGACTGTCTCGGCGGCGATGAGGGTCTGCAAATGGACGATTTCACAAATGCAGGAAATAATATCCTCGCTGATGACTTGGCGATGACAGGTGAATCCGACTGGGAGCCCTTGGCTGGACTCAGATAGGAACCCTGCGGTTTGCCTGAAAATAGCTGAGAAATCGTGCTGATAAAATCGTTGTCGATCGCCGACAAGGGCAGCTCCTAACAAATGTTGCCTGTCATCCGGTTTAGTAAGTTCATCTCACCGAGTGATGCTGTATTGACGGACCAGAAAATTGCACGAAGAACTTCAGAACGTAAGGGAAGACCCCGTGCTCGACAAAGTTGCAGCAACTTAGAAAGACCCTTAGCGTGAGTGCTATGCTCGGCAGTGTCGCCAGCTCGATGCTGCATTCCCATTAGCGACCCACTAAAATTCCCAAAGAATGAAACGTACTGCGATGCCGCAAAGAATAAGGATGGTCCCAATGGACAAAGCTCGGAGTGTAGGGTCATCCTTCTCCAGGTCTTCTTGCAACAATCGGATCGCTCTGCCTTTGAACTTGAGAGATTCGCTTGTTGAGCGGCCGCCATTACGCAGGCGAAGGAGGGAATAGAGGAAAGCATATAAAAACGCCGAATTTTCTAGGCATCCAGGAAAAACGGAAAGAGTTGTCAAATCCTTGTTAAAATGGTTCGCAACAAAGAGAGGCTCCGCCGCCACTTGAAATGCGCCTGGGAAGAATGAGGTTAGTCGTCCCTTGCCACCAAGAGACGCACCTACAACTCTTCAGAAGATGGTCAATCCATACTGGGTCAATCTGGGTACGGACGGAGATCTGTGAAGCGTATGGATGCTGACCTTCCTGGCCACAAGAGTCGCCATCACGTGGAGGTTGTCCTGAGCTGAGAAGCGGAGGCTTTAGCGATGCTGAATGGCTGACGCAACACCTTTTGGGCAAGATGTCACTATCGCTTGACAGGAGGGATTCGAATGCTCTTGTGGGAGCATCAGAGTTTTGTGGGCGGTCAGAGGATCGTTGAGAGTCGTTGCGGTGGAGGCCTGATGATGAGCTCCCAGATTCAGTGGTAAAAGACTGAAGCGGATCCGACTGCAGGGAGGATTTTCGTCTCCCGCTTCTTATCTTTCTATCACTGTGAAAATCGGTGACCGTCAAGGACCGAAAATTCTCCAGGCGTTGGGTGCTCTGTTGGTGTGACCTCTCCAAATTGATCTTGCGGACGTGTGAACGTAATGCACGTACTTGGGGGTGGCCCAACGAAGACCCGGGCTTGGTTTCGTGCACAAAGTGGATTTGAGACATGGCAGAGGGATTTGGCAGAGATTCAGATCAGTGATCACAATTCATCAAGGAAGAGCGACCTGTTGTCTGAAAAAGGAAGAAGACCTGATCGATGACTCCACCCCGAGCGAAACGTTTCCCTGCGACATTAGCAATCGGCTTCGGTTCTAGGTGGACTCACGCTACCTCGCCACGGTCAATGTCCTCCAATGCTGACAGGGGCTTCAAGTATAGGCACAGACCTCCCACGCTACACACGCGAGCTCCCGAGAATCTCGCTCAGAGGACCCGCGTCAGTACCTTTCGAAGTGGCAAACGATGATTATGGCATCTCAGGATGTATGCCCAACTAGACATAGATTACCGTCTTGTTCCCTGGTGAGATGTTGGAAAGCGGAATGAATAAGGACCTTACCTCACCCACCCGACTGCGGATCAGTTTATCTCCCGGGTCTTAATAAACACCGTGGAGGCTTAAGGACCTGCTCAATGGTTGCTCTCCCTCCACATGTCTTGACATATCTTAAGATGCCAGCCCTGGTATCCTGTAGATGCCTCTATTGGTCGTCTCTTTATACATCTCTGTCCCTTTGAGTCCCACTGAGGTCATGCTGCCCATATTGCTTAAATTGCAAAAAGATTCCAGAGCACTAGCATCATCGCATCGACGTGTCGATTAAAATCTTACCGTTCCAGACGGCCCGTCGGCTGCGAGCCTGGCGTCGTTGCGCCTGAAATCCGGTATGCCAACCCATTGCACAAAAAAAAAAAAAAAACCCTCCGATCTCCGAGGAGCTCACCCGTGAAAGTGTATGCCCATCACTTTAAGCGAGCTGCAAGGCGGAATCAGAGCATATGAATTAATCATCGTGCAACGTCTGGTTGACGAGCTTTGGGCGTCTGGTTGTTGATATATCAGTAGTGATATAAAGCGTAGCGACGCTTCGGGCTTCAACCCTTGCAAATTACGGACGGTTCCGGCAGCGAGGTTGACAAAAGCTAGCGGCTTTTATGTCATTCCCCGAGAATTCCCTCGCTGATATAATGATTCCCCAGTCAACTTGACAAAAGCAGCACTGGCGCTCTGTTGCTGATATAAACTTTTAGGTGCTGAGAATTAAAGCAGCAGCTCTATCTGGCCAATCAGCAGCCAAGTATCGCTTATATTACTATATAGCGGCTTGGCAAATATCATTGCTCACGGCCTCCCGTGTCTGATCCAAACCACCCATCGACTCTTTCACAACCACACACTCAAGGCCCTACGACGTCGTGCTGAAGTCGGGAGGCGGGTTCGAAATGCCATTGAGGAAAACTCAAACAAGACAATGACATCCACACCTCGCTAGCTCCGTATCCGCACACGATGTCGCCCCCCGGCGTCACTGAAGTTCAGGAGCCCCTTCCGCTTCCCGGGCGGGATTCCCTCGAGCTCGCTTCACTGGCTGATTCGGATCATGATGAGCTTCCTACCTCCGAGTCCTCTTCCAGGTCCGGCGTCTCCTCTTCTCGACGATTATCTCTCGAGAACGAAGACCCTCTCGACAGCGCCAACCCGGCAGCACGCGACCGCTTACGGGGACGATCTTACTCCGTATCCTCCGCCTTCGACTTCACCCCGGCGCTGTTCCCCCTCTCCTCGACCGGAGGAGGATATACTGCACTTGGGAATCCATCAAATGTGTCGCTGTCACTGGAAAGACGAGGCCCCCTGCAAAATCTAGAGAAGAACAAGACCTTGACATATCTGAACGGCCTTTCCTTGGTGGTTGGGTTGATCATTGGCTCGGGGATATTTTCTTCACCAGCCCAAGTGAATTCTCATGCAGGATCTCCAGGGGCATCGCTGATTGTATGGACGATATCCGGACTCCTGGCGTGGACCGGGGCCACGTCTTATGCAGAGCTAGGAGGAGCCATCCCCCTCAACGGAGGTGCTCAAGTATATCTGGCCAAAATTTTTGGAGAGGTAGTTGGGTTTCTCTTCACGTGGTCAGCCATCCTGGTTTTGAAACCGGGGGGGGCGGCCATCATCGCCATTATCTTCGGAGAATACATGGTGCGTGCGGTGATTGGGGCGGAGGTCGAAGACATCAATCCCTGGATTAACAAGATCCCCGCCTTGGGCGCCCTCACCCTCGTGACCCTCCTCAACTGTGTCTCAACACGCTTTGCAGCACGCATGGGCGACATTTTCATGTTCTTCAAGTTTGTAGCGCTGGTCGCCGTGACGATCGTCGGCATCATCGTTGCTGTAACGGGTCTTTCCTTCAACGGCGCTGCGAACAGAGACTGGCGAAACCACAACTGGTTCGAGGGAACGTCAACCGACATCTCCAACTGGGCCGTTGCTTTATACGCGGGACTCTGGGCATTTGACGGCTGGGACAACACGAACTATGTGACGGGAGAATTCAAGAATCCAAGCCGCGACCTACCCCGGGTAATCCACACCGCCATGCCCGCCGTCATCGCCTGCTATCTCCTGGCCAACATCTCATACATCTTCGTCCTTCCCATTGAAACGATCAACAAATCCAACACTGTCGCCGTGCAGTTCGGCAGCAAAGTCTTCGGATCTATCGGCGGACTCGTCCTCGCTCTCATCGTCGGCGCGTCCTGCTTTGGCGCCCTGAACGCCACGACATTCACCTCCGGCCGACTCGTCTACGTCGCCGGGCGCGAAGGCTACATCCCTTCCATCTTCGGCAAGATCGGCTTCGGCTACGCCTCTGGCCCGGAGACACCCGCACCGCTGAACAAACTTCGCAAACGCTCCTGGTTTTCCAAGACACTGGCGCGAGTGTTCGGCGACGAATCCATCGGCCTCGGTTACACGCCCGTGAACGCCATGTTACTTAACATGGCCCTGTGCTTGATCTACATCTGCCTCGGCGAGTTCAAGACACTCATTACCTTCTACGGCGTCGCAGGCTACACGTTCTACTTCCTGACCGTGTTGGGCCTAATTGTGCTTCGAATCAGGGAACCACATCTCGAACGGCCTTATCGCACCTGGATTACGACGCCTATCATCTTCTGCTGCGTGAGTTTATTCCTCGTCAGCCGTGCCGTGATCGCACAGCCACTGCAGACCGTGATTGTTATCGCATTCGTTGCCAGTGGCGTCCCCGTGTATTATTGGCGTGTTGTGCGGAGAGACGACTCTGGGGTATCGGGGAAAAGGGAACGAAGATTCTGGAGGCGATGGGGCAGGTCCGGAAGGTAATATCAGCGTGAGGATTTTGAGCCCATATGGGACGCGGGACGATTTTCATATACCTACGCCACACTACTCCAGTTGGACTATGACTGCTCCTAGTCTCGTCTGGCTGATCAACCGGCGACCAGGCTACAGCAGCCGGGGATGTACCGTCGGTATGGGATCGGATAGAATACAGCTTTAAATCCGAGCAGCTGAGCAGTTGAGTAGTGCATAATTGAATTCCCGGTATAGAACGAATGCTCTTCTCGCCCAAGAAAAGCTCACTGCGCGGAAATAGGAACTTTCCAGGAAGGAGGCAGAGGACCTCCTTGGCCAAGGGTCGCTCAAAACCGAGATACATACACCAGGAATACATAGTGGGAATCTCAAAATGAAACTCGTCGGCAAAAGAAAAGGGAGGGAGACGTCTTCTCTGAAGGAGAACTCGAAGTTCCGGCACCTCGCGAGCTGTGAGCCAAGTGTCCCTGTCCGAGTTGTCTCGCGTTCTTGGTCTTTCAATCCATCATTAGCAACAGCGATAGCCAGTGACAACAAATGTCCATATCCACATGCAAGATGATCCAGAAGAAAATAAGTCTCCCGCGAATGCTGAATCGCGAAGATCCTCGCTCACGATGCTGGAATCATATAGACTTCGGCATGCCTTCTTCCCACTTGGCAGACCCAGAAATACCTATGCGGTTTCTTTGCTACCCACGGCGGAGGAGGGTGAGGTCGACTTAGATTTTGTCTTTCCCTTCTTGACCTTCAAGTGCTTTGGCTCCGTTGCTTGAACATCTTTAGAAAATAAAAGCTGCCGTACCTTCTTTAGCTCATTTGCTCCCTCGGAAAGTTGAAGTGTATGCCGATTCTTCTTTAGCTCCGTTGCTGCCGAGGAAAATACAGGATGGCCGCATAGTTTGATTTGGGATTCCTTGGACTGGTCTTGTGGTCCCTCCTTATCCTCTGTGGTTTGAATCTCTTTTGCTCGGACGCCACCGTTTCTCTTCCGACGGGTTCGAGGCTGAACCCGCGGAATAACCATCTAGACCGGCTTTGCCCGCCCACGGCTTTCCGACAACTACGCCCTTTTCGTAGATTTCAAGCGCTGGTTTGATTTAGCTGATAATGTTTTGAGACGGGCCGATGCAACCCAGGGTTTCTGATGAGCCTGGGATGCCGCCGCCTGTTTTGCACCGTCATCGATGCGCTCATTATTTCTCGTTGTCACTGTCATCGTCCTCGCGTCGCATTTGAGAGGCATGTGCCGGATCTTCGTCGCACTTCCAGCTCTCAATCGCCCGACAGATGCGTTTGCAATTGCAAACGGAAGCGGTTTTACATCTTGACTCGAATTGGACTGTTTCCTCGGCAGAGATGCAGAATGGTCGAGAGTTTTGTCTTTAAGGACCGGTTCCCAGCTTCTTGTAAGTCGCAGCAACAGATGGTCCCCTTCATTTAGTGGCAGTTTGGCTCGATCCGCAAATGCAAGAATGGATGAACTAGGGTTCGATATCCGCAAATAATCCCTGATTGTCTTAGGTTTCTCGTTGAAAGTCGTAAAAAGATAGTAAGCCTGGAGATTTCTTATCCACTGTCGCTTCCATGATGATCTGAAGGGTACTTGTATTTTCTTCAGCTTCCGGCAAAACCGTGCCGTTTGAAGAGTTTTCAAAGCCATGGCTCCAGTCAAGCGTCGCAGATACTCAGCACGTGAGAGTGTCCGTGCAAGATGCGGCGATCTTGGGAGTCGATCGGAGTGATCGAGGTCATTGCTTTGTTCGAGGTCGCTGCTTTGTTCAAGGTCGTTGCCCTTTCTCAGGTCCCTGCTTTTCCCTGGGACGTTACTTATTTTCTTGTACAGGAGTACAGGGCCAAATGCAGAGGCGGAGGAGTGGAGCGAGTCTAACGAGCAAGGCACGATATCCTGCGACTCTCTGTGAACAAGGTGGTATAACTGTAGGGCTGCGTAAGGGCGAGCGGCAAGGTCTAGGAAAATGTATTAGTGAAATGTCATTTTGGTCAAGATGAGAAACCTCACGAGTAAAGAAACCAGTGGGATTATCCATACCAGCCTCCCAGGTCGCACGCTGAAGGGTGAGTTGAGGTAGTGCATGGCGATAGCTTCGGTCAACGAGTGCTGAAATGAAGCCAATAGTAGGATCTTCTATGGAGTCGTGGCAGATTTGACCCTGATCGCCCGTGAGATCATAGCATCCCTCCATATCGATGAGGAAATCAGACGCCAGTCTCGTTCGCTGCAAGTTCATGTTGACTCCCACTTTCAAGATTCCAGGGTTACCAAGGACGCTTTGAAAACGATCAAAACGCAGGATTTCGCCGGCTGACATGACACCAAGGTGGAAGATTGCGACTTCACGATCACTTGCGAGCATCATAAACTCAACTCGAGCGTAATGATTCCGCGACGGAGATACAGCGTGAATAGCAGTATCAATTCCCAGGGCTTTCGAGGTCGAGAATCGTTTCAAAACATCCAGCGCAAACTCGACATCGACGACGTGGTGAATTGGAATAGCTGCGTCACGGGGATATAGGTTTTTTGGTCTTCGCCAGGGTGGATCATCTTGTTTTCCAGCGGAAGGCAATCCTAGGATAGATTGGGGATTGGCTCGAGCCTCTGGAGTGGGATGGACACTTGTCATCAAGTCGCTTCGCGTGCGCGGGGGGCTGGAAATTCCAATGGTCATGGACGAAATTCCTGTCCAAATTGTTGCATTTGTCAACAGTCTCCAAATCTCCCGCCGATCCGCTATCATGGCATCCTTAATAGAGGTAAATTTATAATGCCGCTCCCGACCTTCCAGCGAATCACGAGGTAACCAAAACTCCGAGCTGATAAACTTTTGTACAGACACCATCAATGAATGAGCTCTGGCTTGGAATATGGCAAACGGTCGGAACTTCAACACCTGGGCGGTTTGAAGAGGAAGGTTGGACCTGAGCCCGGACAACTGATATTGAGAAAAGGACGTGATAAACAATGTCGCAGTACCCAGAGCTCGATTGTACATCTTTTTAGCGAGGTACCGAGACGCAGAACGATAGTAGTCAGCGCGCTTTGTGGGATGCCTCCCTTGCAACTGCTCCCAGCGCCTAAGTATCTCGAAGGAGTTGGTTTCAATGTCGTATAGGAGTAAATAGAATTGCAAATGGCGGACATCAAACTCGAAGAGTTCGGGCAGATTCGTGTACAGCATGTCGCAGCGTCTGATCTTTCGGAGTTTATGCAATTCCGCCGAGACTTCTCGTCCCAATACCTGTGCTTCAAATCTCAGCAACAGGATTTCACTCATCGCGCGTTTGATGTTCCACCCTTTCGCTCCTGTGGAAGTAAAATGCTCCTTGGCCGCGTCAGTGCTGGGAATAGAACCTTTCTCCCAAAGTCCTCTCGTCGCCAGATCTCTTGCTATTGACCAGAGATTTGAGTCACAGAGAATGTCATCGGTAATATCCTGGAAGACCTTCGTGGATTCTCTGAGGGTATCGTTGATGCTTCCCTGTTCGGCCACGAAGTTCAACTGCCACTCTAGCATGACGCCTTTTTCCCGAAGTGAGTTCTTAAATTGTTGTCTTTCATCGCGTAGCTGTGTCAGATCTGTGCGTATGACGGAAATCCCATCGTCCAGGAGCTGCAGGCGTCGCTCGATCGGTGCAATAAGCTGAGCGACATGCTCTTTGGCCCGCATTTTCCAGTACTCCTCCTTGGCACGATCTCTCGCGGATGCCAGTATGGACGCAATCGATTCGCGGCTGGTGTGTTCTAATTCTAGTTTCCTGACGATCCCCCATGCGCTTTCCTCCTTTCTTTTGTAGGCGGCCACCCATTCTTGTTTCCTCCACGAAATCTCTGTCTGTCGTTCCTGCTCCTGCAAGGGGTTTTCTGGGAGCAATGGATTGGGAGCTCCGACATTTTCGGCCCGCCTTCTATTTCCTGACCGCGGAGGAGCCAACGTACCAGGAAAAGGTGGTAAACTCCCGGGGCCCGGAGGCCTTCCAGGTGGCAGGTGGTGGTGATCTGAAGGACGCCTTGCTGGAAGTCCCAGGGCGGAAGCATGTCGTGTTTTGGCCGGATTTAACAAGAGTATTGAGACTGTACTGAATTTTCGCCGGTTCCGGTGATCTTGCAGACGCTGGCCCCGGAGTCCATTTTTTCTCTGTCTGCAGGAAGTTGTGCAGAACAGGTAGAATGGGTGCTTGGGGGGAATTCTGCGTTCAGATATTGCGTACCATGGTGTCCAGCTCCTCTCGAGGCGTGGAATTTGGCCAATGGAAACTTCGTCGTAACAACAAGCCGGGCGAAGCGTCAAGGCACGAGAAACTGGCCTGGACGGGCCCGAGTCATGTATAACCCGGTGGCACCCATTGAACATGGGCGTAACTAGGCCGAGGAGAGTGCCGCCCTGCTGACAGCATCTATGAATCGCAATGATGGTTCGAAATACGGAAAACGCAGCTGAAAGTTTATGCTCCACAGTGCCCAGCCTCGCATCGTACGGCGGAGCATTCAAGTATCTATAGTCATGTACCCGGTTGTGCCAGGTAAACGCGAAACCATAGTCTCTTTGCACGATATCCTTTGCCAACGTGTTCTCTATAAGGATCTCGTCAAGGTCTTCATACGGTTAATGTCTTCCCCAGCTTCGAACTCTCCCTGGCAAGCTCAACCAACCGGATTACACCCACAGCTTGCTCGGGAGGAACTGGGACTTTTGAGACATCACCATTCAATGCGGCTGCTAGTCGTTGATAGTACTCGGTGTATGTCGGCGGCTTCACGGTAGGAGCGACCTCGCTCACGATTTTTCCATCCTTGGAGATGTTCATCGTCCCGTACCTATCCTCAGGCTCGTAACCATATCCTGGGTCGCCCGGTCTGAGACCTTCATGCCTCAACTGATCCTCTTGGGGATCTAGGTGGAACTTCTTGAACGAGCCTTTGTCACCACGAACCCAGAATCGCAATTGATTCACTTCAGGGCTGACGACGCCGGCTTTGACCGTAACCAACATCTTGCCATAATGCAACAGCACGGTGCAAGAATCCTCCAGACCCGTCGTGTTCATTTCCCTTTGCGATCCCACAAATCCAGTAATCCGCTCAGGCATACCGAAAAGATGGACGACTTGATCCATGAGATGTGTTCCGAGGTCGTAGACAGCACCGGTCCCCGGAGCGTGATATGCCTTCCAGTTATCGGCCGGGGGATCAGGGCGATGTCGATCAAAATGGGTTTCAAATTCGACGATTCTACCCAAGGTTCCATCCTCGATGTGCTTTTGGAGCGTTAAGAAATCCGAGTCCCATCGTCGATTTTGGTAGACGGTAAGGATGACACCCTGGGACTTGGCTAGGTCAACCAGTTCTCGTGCTTCAGCGGATGTAGGAGTAAAGGGTTTTTCCACAATGACTGCAGATTGATCAGCTTATCATCTTCGGGCCGAGATGGGATTCTGGCATACCATGCTTCTTCTTCTGCGTTGCCATCTTTGCCAATTGAAAATGTGACTCTGGAGCGGTTGTCACCACGACAACATCTACTTGGTCATCTTGGACCATGTCATCCGCAGAACGATACAACTTGATGTTGGGATGGTCGATGCTCGCGTCATCGTCGGGCTTGGGGCTTCGCTGCACGATGGCGTATAGATTGAAGTCGGATACCGCATTGACAAAGGGAATATGAAATATCTTCGCACTCAAGCCATATCCAATGATGCCGACATTGTATTTGTTTCCGGCCATTGCCCAAATATGCCGAGCAGGTTTTGGACAGCCTGGTTGAAGGACCGACTCAACCTTGATCCGATGCTTTCCCCCTTTATATCAGAGGTTCTTCACCTTGACTCCGACCAACCTCCAGCTGAGGCAAAATGAATCGGTGGACCCCACAACGCGCTGAAAAGTCCGTTTGAGTGGTGGGGAATTTTCCAGCATGAGCCTCCGAATACATCACAAAACTTCCATCTTGGTTGTTTCTGGAAATCTCCCCGCAATGCTGGCCGGAAACGAGGTCGAGTCCCGTTTGAGCAATTTCTTGAATCAGTTCCGTGTCTCATCCTGCGTCTGATGCTGAATTGAAATAGTCAGGTCTACTCATTCGAGATATCTAGTAAGTATCTGTTCCCTCGCTAGGTCTTTCCTACCAAATGTACTCCCGCAACGCCAGCAAAGATGCTTTTCCTGGCCCGGTCTCAGCTCAAGCTCTTCTTCAGACTTCACCAGAACCAGGGACCTTTTTTAAATCAGGCCCAAACACGTCCCCGTCCCTTTCCAATCTCTCTCTTTCGAGCTTGCGTTTCTTGAGGGCCTTTTCAGCATCACTCCCATCGCCTTCCCTCTTTTCTGCAGCCTTGGCCCTCGCGACAGCGACGATGTCCATCTTCTCGGGATTCTGGCAGACGGTCAATTTCTTCCTAATACGCTTCATCTCTCTCCGCTGTGTTGAATCATCATCTGGTAGGCGATAAGAGGCTAGGAGCGTCGCGCAGGCGGAGATCGTCGACACCAGCTTCGGTTCCAGCGACGCGGCGGCTTCGGTGAGCGGGAGCTGGGACAATTTCCGCTCCAGATACGTGTCGACCAGTTCTCTGTCCGCGACCATCATGGCAGCAAGCCAGATTTGGCTGGGCGTGTAGAGGAAATATGCGTCGGTCATCTGTGCGGCCGTGGCGAGTAACGTCTTCGCCTGATCCGCGGCCGTGCCGATCCGCTTGGCCGAACCCGTAGATTTCGAAATGGGCCCGAGTTGGCCCTCTTCGGCCATGACGTTCATCTCGATATGTCCGCCTGCTAGCCCTTTCATGGGATGGCGCACGTCGAGCGTGAAGCGGAGTCCCTGGAGGAGCAGGAATTCGGGAGCTTTGACGTCGTCTTCGCTGACATTTTCAAGCTCGGCAACAAACTTCGGCAGAGATATGTAGAAATGGTCGGCCTTGGTTGCAAGGTAGAGAGCACACATCATTATTTGTTTCGGATGATACGTCATGGGGGAATGTGTGAGATAGAAGCGGCGGAGATACTGGATTGCAGTAGCCTGGATCGAAATCAGAACCGCCCACATCTGTAGAAGGAGACGCAAAACCCAGGGGACAAATCCTGTAAAGGGGCTCCGAGAGATATATGGAGGAACAGAAAAAGACCCATACCACGACGTTTGATGGTATTCTCGGATTCATGGCCTCGCCCATATCTATGATCTTTGAGCAACCCCATTCCACAATTTTCAATTCTTCGTCCACGGTGAGGGTCTGAATATCGACCTCTGCATCCGCGGCGTCCGCTCCGCCTCCATTGGCGGGATCATCGTTACTTCCATTCTGAACCACATTGGCCGATTTGGCTCTCCGGAAGGCGGCTCTAACTCGCTCAGAGGCGAGATCGTTGGTGTTCTGCCGTATTCGAGCGAGGCTTTCTTGGGTATATGACCAGTAACGGTATTGCGACGACGTTCTGTAGAAGTCGTCTTCGATCATGATCACAGTGAGCGTCGCACGTTCACTGAGATCCGCGCAAAGCTTCGTCTCAGCCTGCTATTGTCGTTCCAGTTTGTGGAGTTGGTTGTTTGGGAAGGTGACCTGCACGAGCCAGGCAGATTATTGGAGGCTATTGGTCGAGCTAGTGGAAATAAGGCGAACTTGGAGCACATGGACACGACTGCATTCGCTTTTGTCGAGCGAGATTATTTTCACCAAAATGCGACGTGACAATACTTTTCCGGACAGACTATGTATTCATTTTCCCATAGCGTCATATTTCTCGTCATATACCATCTCACAACGCCCGTAGGATGCGTAGTTCTGCCGTCAAGCTAACACCACCGCTTTTTATGCAACAAATCACCGAGCTCATAATAATAACAGGCCTCGTCGCTCAGGGTTCACCCAGCAATCGGGCGGTGATATCTCCCATGTAGGCTTCTTCCAATTCGTAGTCTTGTCCACCGTTTCGGTCAATGCCAACGTAATTGAATGCTTCCACCACCCGTTCCACATCAAAACCCATCATGACGAACCGATCAATTAAATCCTTGTTGTACCCATCGTATACCGCAATGTTGGCCGCCGCTTCTCTCTCCTGACTCTCCTTCTCAGCCTCCTCAATGGACTGAGCCGTTGCTCCACCACTGCTCTCCCCGATGAACGATTTGGGGGCTCCCGCATACTTGACTGCCCATTCTCTTGCTTGTCTCTCAAATTCTTTGGGGTTTTTGATCAGCTGTTGGGCAACGACGGCGTCTTGCGGGTCTTTTGGCTCGGGTGAACTGAGCAAGGATTGCAATGAGATCATGGCCGATTTGATCGTCAGAACAGGTGACCAGCCTGTGCTGAGAGTGTCGAGGCAAATGGCACCCTGACGTCAGAGTCAGCATCGAATGTCCCACGACAGATGTTGTTGGCAAGCTTACAGTTTGACTGGAGATATTCGGGTGCCATATCTTGGTGGTGAACTTCATCACCGGCGGTTTGAAGGGGTATTCATTGGGGATGTTGATAGAGACCGTATATGTTCCACCTTCGTATGGTGTTCCCGAAGGACCTTTGAAGGAACCTCGAAGATTCGTGATGCTGTCCCCGACGGTTTCCGCAAAGATCTGTGAGGTCGTGTCTGCACGGATGTCCGCCAAATCTTTGGCTATTCTTCGTGCCTTGTGTCCAGCCATCTCTCTTGACCAGCAATGCCGAAGGGAGACCCGAGAGGAGAAAGATGAATACGGAGGAATAGATCTGAGAACTATGATGGCAAGGAAATCTAGAGGACAATAATGGAAAGGCTGAGAGTAACGGGAATAAGTTCTAAGGAGATGAATGAGAGTTGGGACTTCAGCGGAAAGAGAACAAGGCTGTCTGCTCGACGGAATCACATCGAAGAAAGATGACCCGCAGGTAGTTCGTGGTGCAAGTCAGGTTTGGAGAGATCGGATTCAGAGGGAGAGGAAGGTAGATTTTAGTGGAAGTTGTCTGATGAGATGTTGGATCACACAGCCACCGTACAGAGGATCGAGGACGTGTTGCCTAGTTTGTGTTTTGTGGTTATGGATGTGGTTTGTTGGTTTTGTGGTTTATGGTTTATGGTTTGTGGCCTCACAAGTGCCGCCAGCCCAGTGGTTGTCACCCGCGAGGTCGAAGAAGTGACTTGGTCGCCGGGGCTCGCCAAGTGGACTGGTAGGAGCCAACGGGTTGCTGGCTGGGCGCCTACGTAATGGTAGAGAAGTGCCTATCTATACGCAGGGTTGGTCGTCACGTGTTATCACGTGATAGAATCACGTGCTCCAGCTACCACTCAGGTCCAGGGTCTTGGCATCTCCTCCAGGCGCGACTGGGCAGCGTCACGCATTTGCATCTTGGTTTCACCGGGCAATCAGCCTTTTTATCATTGTATTGTATCTAAATCAACACAACAACTTTCTTTTCTTGCCATCGCCTGGCTCTGTAGTCTTCGGCCCTCATCTCCGCTCTGCTGTGGAAGCCATGGTACGAATTAAGAACCGCCTCATATCCAATGCGTTAACTGACAAATCCAAAAGGGGAATCAACAATCACAAATGGGAGGCGGCCCTCCAGGTCAAGGAGGCAAAGATGACAAGGACAAGAAGGTATGTAGGATGTGATACGTACAAGACTGAGCGAATGTTAATTCAACTTCCAGAAGGACAAGCCCAAGTACGAACCTCCGCCGCAGCCCACTACCAGAATTGGACGAAAGAAGCGCAAACAAGCCGGTCCAAGCGCGGCTGCAAAGCTTCCAACCATCTACCCAACGGCCAGATGCAAATTAAGATATTTGAGAATGCAGCGGACACATGACCATCTCCTCCTAGAGGAGGAATATGTCGAAAATCAAGAGCGCATACGCAAGGCCAAAGCCGCTCAAACACAAGCTCCGGCCTCTGCGACAGAAGGCGACGCACCCGATCGAAATGCAGATGAAAGAAGTCGCGTGGATGATATGCGAGGAAGCCCGATGGGGGTGGGTAACCTGGAAGAACTCATCGATGACGATCACGCCATTGTTTCCAGCGCGACTGGTCCCGAATACTATGTCTCGATTATGTCTTTCGTCGATAAGGATCTCCTCGAACCGGGCGCCTCCGTCCTCTTGCATCACAAATCGGTTTCTGTCGTTGGCGTGTTGACTGATGACGCCGATCCACTGGTTTCCGTCATGAAATTGGACAAGGCCCCCACAGAATCTTACGCGGATATCGGTGGATTAGAATCCCAGATCCAGGAAGTCCGCGAGGCCGTGGAACTCCCGTTATTACATCCGGAATTGTACGAAGAGATGGGTATCAAGCCACCCAAAGGCGTCATCCTGTACGGCGCGCCGGGGACAGGAAAGACCTTGCTCGCGAAAGCGGTCGCCAATCAAACATCAGCAACTTTTCTGCGCATTGTCGGCTCTGAACTCATTCAAAAATATCTGGGCGATGGTCCGAGATTGGTGCGTCAGCTTTTCCAAGTCGCAGCGGAGAATTCCCCGAGTATTGTCTTTATCGACGAGATCGACGCCATCGGCACGAAACGATACGAGTCCACCTCGGGCGGTGAACGAGAGATCCAAAGAACCATGCTTGAGTTGCTGAATCAACTGGATGGGTTCGATGATCGAGGCGACGTCAAAGTCATCATGGCCACCAACAAAATCGAGACTCTCGACCCGGCCTTGATCAGGCCGGGACGCATCGACCGCAAGATACTGTTCGAGAATCCCGATACCAACACGAAAAAGAAGATTTTCACTCTTCACACCAGCAAGATGAGTCTGGCGGAAGATGTGGACTTGGATGAGTTCATTGCTCAGAAAGACGACCTCAGCGGTGCGGATATCAAGGCCATCTGTTCGGAAGCCGGATTGCGGGCGCTTCGTGAAAGGAGAATGCGTGTCAACATGGCCGATTTCAGAAGTGCAAAGGACAGCGTGATGAAGACCAAGAATGAGGGTGAGCCCGAGGGTCTGTACTTGTAATCTGATTCGAAATTGAGGAAGGACCCGGGATTGGGACATTGACATATCAGTCTGCCCGATGAGCCTGGTTCGTACCCTGTATTTTACATATAGACCGTTTTCGGCGGACCAGCAGAGAAGAACAGAGCAAATTCCTCTTGGTGCGCGCTGGACGAAATACATGTTGGATTTATCCCGAGGTGAAAACTTTTGTTTGCCTCCGGGAAAATTCATATCATGCCATTCATTCATTCATTCGCCACACAGTTCATAAATATAGAGTATGGTCATACTATCTATCAAGGGTAAATATCGCCATGTCTCATAAAGCATGCAAACAATGATCGACGTCGATAGAAATCGACGACCGAGTTTGTGTAGTGATGCCAACGACTTATGCGAGGTTGAGGGTATAATGCTGCATGACTTCGCCGGGATTAGGTATATACTATGGTCTGTCGATATTGCCTCAAGCCAATACAGTGCTATGCAATGAAATGGGAGGGAAGACAAGAGGACTGAATAAGGGAAAAGGTGGAGAGGTAGGCAGGGGATAATGATATTAAAAAAAAAAGTCAGAACCTCATCACGGGTCGTTTGACTGCTGTGCTCTGCTTTCGCCGTGCCAGGGTCAGAATGTAGGTAGATAGAGAGGTCGAGAGGTGTGTTCTGTCGTGCTTGTCTTCGTTGTCTTGTTCGTTCTCTTCGTGTTCAGTCTCGCTCGATGATCTGGGGATATCAGACAGAGACCCCATTTCATGGAAAACTCAGACGGTGGATCTAGAACAAAACACCAAAAACACGAATTTGTACTCCGCGGGATCTCATTCTTCCGGCAGACCAACATTATGACATCAAATCCAATCAATCCGAAACAGATCCCTTGTCGCACCCAATACGGCCGAGGAGTTCCTTGCGGTCACTGCTTCCCGCGAGAAGATTGACGCCCGAGGAATGCGCGGACTCGTGCTTTGATTTCCTCCGCGAGCCGCTCGAGCTCGATCCTGAGGCGGAAGAGGACGCCGGGCTCGGTCGCCTTGCGGACGAGGGAGATGGTTTGGATTTGGATTTCGATCGGGCGTGAGGGGAGGAGAAGGAAAAGTTGGGGTCGGTGCTGAGGATCTCGCTTTCGAGATACGGTGGCGGTTCCACACAAATGTGGACATCCTCGATGTAGTTCTGTTGGGCGAGAGATGCTTTCTCATCGAGAACCTCCCCTTCGTCCTCATCCTCGTCATCGGAACGGACATCCTCGGCTCCTTGCCCTGTAATGACTTTATATGCGACTTTGACGATCATGACAAACCAGAGGAGGAGGATGCCCTGTAGAGCGAGGAGCATGCCCAGAAACGCCCATTTGATGTCGTTGTTCCAGCAGACCAATCCCACGGGGTCGCGGAACGGTTGTGTGAGATGATCCCAGTCGTTGGGCGTGGGAATGGGTCCTTGAAGATCCAAGGCACTGCCTTTGTAACATCCGTATTGGATTTCCTGCGGGATATGTGCGTAGATGCTGTAACAGACCCACATGTAGAGGAAATGCCTCGCAGCCAGCCACGTGACCATAAAAATGCCAAAGGTAATGTCACAGGCGACGGTGAAGTGGAGGTATCGGAGGATTTTGGCGAGAGGCAGGAACAGATCCACCACGTCCATCAGACAGAGGATGAGTGTTCCGACCCGGGATTGGTGGTAGCCGTAGGATGTGAACATGAGGGTACAGGTGACGATATGGTGAATGAACATCTGCGCATAGTCCTTCCGACGCTCTTCAATATTCACCACCACAATTTGCTGCAAGTAAAAGCCGAATTGGACCAGATAGTACCACTTTGCGAGGCCGTCCATCTCACGAATGGGCCAATTCCGCCACAACGCCCGCAGGTCGAGCCAGTAGTCAGCGTGAGTCATGATGTACATTCCGATGCTCCATGAAAGGGAGTAGTAGATCAGAATCCAAGCTTGCTCGGCGAATCGCACTTTCGGCTTTTTCTTCTTGATGCCCAGGACAGAGGCCAGAGGGGTGAGGAGATAGTCCATCACGGCACAGCGGAGACCGGTGAAGACAATGATCCAGTAGAAGACGAAAAAGGTGTCGTCCCAGCCAAGGGCGAAGGTTCCGGTGACTGGGTTGTAGTAGGAGATGCGGAAGAATTTCTGGGTATGATGTCGGGCGGCGGGGAAGAGGAGGTGGATGAAAAAGAGCATCGACATGAGGTTGAGTGATATGCCTGGAACGAAAGTCAATCCGATGGTGCAGACGGCCATTTTCCCGCCGTGTCCTTACCGATCTGATGGTCCACCACCCACGTACACGCCAGCGCTATGCTGCTTTTCTCTTTCCCTCTCCGGTGCCAACGAGGCCAGGCGGTTTTCTGGGATGGCGATCCATGATGTTGGTGATATTCCCCCGTCGACTGGAACACTCTTTCCAATTTCTCGTGGTCCGGAAGAGTGACGCGGTCCATTTTATGGCGCGCCGAGGATTTGGACATGGTGAGCACGTTGGAATAGGCAACTGAGCTCGAGACAAAATGGATGGAAAAGAGTGTTGTCAATGCCAATGTGGGGAGATGATGAAAAGCCGAGCCCGAATAGAGGTGAGCATGCGGGAGTGCGGGCGACCAGCGCAGCCAATGTGTGACGACGGACAATTGAAAAGTCGGAGCTCAGGACAAGCGAATGACAGATCTCGTTGGTGGCACACGTCTCGCTAAAAGAATAGTGCCAAACGAATGGAGGATGGGCATCGAGCAGAGTGGTAGAGCAAGTGAACAATGACCTGGTTAGCGGTGGGAGTGGGAGCGGAAGTGGGAGAGGCTCTGCAGACCCAAAATATCCGAGTGGAGTGATAACCATCAAGTATATTGGTTCTCTGCATTCGGCGGTGTCGGGCCGCCGAGCCACTGAGGATTCTTGGTTATGAGCAGTGGACTCAAGGCCTTTATTGGTCCGCAGTCTGTTATCCCCCTCTGCTGTTCTGCTCAGTCATTTACGGACCCCTTGGTCGTCAAGAAGCTCTCGGCACGGTAGGAGCCCTCTCGCTGTCCATCTCAAGTTCAAGCCTTAGCTCTATCGACCGGAGTCAACGTTTCGTTCCTCTCCAAACTTCCGATGACCCAAGCTCCATGATCCCTGCATGAAAATATTTCCCCAAGCTTTATTGCTGGGTTTAGCCGGGGACAACGCCTAAAACAGCTATGAGACTCTACCAATGGCAGCGTACCGGCCTTTGCTCCTCGGTCCCGCCGATCATCCACCTTTGAGCCGCCCGCGTGGGATTTGTTTGGGCCATTATTCGTGACAACGATGAAGGGCGTTATTTTTCCTAGACATAGCTCTCACGAAGATAGAACCCGCTGGGAAATTTTCTGCTCAATGACGCGCGACGACCATGGTGGTAGCACGATCATTCTTGAAAACCGAGTGGGTGCAGTCAACGTTGGGCTCAGCGCCAGAGGCCATAGGGCTCCTTGCAAGATTTCCATAACTTGATGGTTCCATCTTCACTCCCGGTGGCATAGATTTTGCCGTCCGGGGAAAATGCGATGGACCAAATGGGGCCATGATGACCTTTGAGAACCTCTGTCGGGATCAATTAACAACCAAAACACAGCGCAAAGGAAAAATGAGTCGTAGGCCCTACCGAGTTCCTTTTCGTGAGCAAAATCCCACACTCGAACCCATGTGTCAACCCCCCCGCCCGTCACGAAACGTCCACTGCTGGGGTTGATGGCCACACTGGCGACGTCATGGTCAAAATTGACCTGCTTGATCACTTCTCCCGGTCTCCCTGCATCGAAAAAGAAACAGGAATGTCCAGCAGCCACACTGAGGATTCCCGGATCACTGTCCTCAGCTCTATTAGTCGAGAGCTCGCACGACGTGATGTCTCGGTCGGTCTTGACGCTGGCAATGGCGTGTTGGGTCCGCAAATCCCACCACCGAATGGTCTTGTCGTCGCTGGCCGTGGTCAAAATATTGTAATCGACGTTCCATACAATGGACTTGATACTTCCGCCATGTTCTCCCGCTCCGATTTCGTGCCCTTCCGACGTGGTGGTGGGAGTGATGGGAGATGTGCCATTTGCTTGTTCGGGAGAAGCCGCACTGCCACCGCGACTGAGATCGAATATCTTGAGCTTCTTGTCCTGTCCGCCGGTGGCTACACACAGGGGGTTTTCCTGAATCGGAAAGGAAACAGCGCGAACGATGTGGTTGTGAGTGAGGATGTGCAAGCATTCTCCAGTCCGTGGATCCCAGATTCTCCTATATATTGTCAGTCGGTTACGTTTCTCATGTGCGCTATCAATCTGGTCTGACGCTGTGAAATCGGCGGAGCCAGTGGCGGCAATTTTGGCATCGGAAGACAGTCTCGATGACCATACGGCGCCCTTGTGTCCGATGAAAGTTCCTATCCTAGGGCAAAATGAGCAGAGGATTCTTCAAGCACATCGCACATCGTACCAGTCTCCGGTCATGCCATCTCTTAGCATCGGATTGTTGTCTGGGGTCCGTTAGATGAAGCCTGACCCGGATCATTGGAAAGCATACCTTTGCAGGCGGAGATGAGATAATATTGGTCGTCATCCACGATCGACGAGAAGCTCAAATGAGTGATGGGCCTCGAGTGGCCATGACAGGTTAAAGGGACAATCCGGGGGGGTTCTAGGACGACAGTCAATACATTGTTGCTATATTGTGGCCCGATCAAGGGTGGAGGCGAGAATTTCAGCCTACCTCCCGACATGGCAATGGCCGCCGACAAGATCTGATTCCCAAGAGCGCAGGAAACTCAGAACAGAGCTATTAAGGTTCTAGGCCGAGTCCAAGGACTTTTGAACCATTCCTTGAAGACAAGGGCAACAGGAGCACCAGAAATGAAAAAGGGCCGATTCTGTGTCAGGATTATGTGAAGAGTCTTGTGCCCCCCAAAAACGTGAAGGTGGCACGAGCCGCAGTTAGAAGGGAACGATGAGAAAAACGAAGGCAAAGTTAGTGATTGGACATGATGCCGTGGGAGGGAATTTGGTCGGCTTGAAGGTGTTGCTTGTCCGCTTGCTTGTCCGCTTTCTTGTTTCCAGGTAAGAGCTTATTCCCAAATTGGAATAGCTCCACGGCCCTCCTCTGCTTTCTCCTTGATCTCTCTCCTCCATCAACGATATTTCAGTGTATATTGTCGGTCACGATTCATGGTGATGGCCAGTCTAAGCAAGAATACCATCAGCGGCCTCTAATTTACTCACTAGCCGCCGAAACTACCTGAACTGAACACCGCTCGCCATGACAATGCTTTGTCTTTCGAAGGATAATTTGTTGGAGTATTTCATGTTCCATCTACTTCATTTACCAGCAAGACAGAATGAGGTGTCAGATATGATATCTCAACTCTTCATAAAATAAATGGCTCAGAGGCCTTTGGAGATATGTCGCCCCTCCAAATCCAGGTTTACATGTCTGGCCTCATGCGCACTGTAATAGCGAATCGGCATAAAATTGAGCTGCTTACATCAGAGCTGTTGCGCACCACCCAGCTGCCGAGAGCACGAGATGCTGAGATCGCGCAATTACGAGAAATGCTGACTGCAGAAGACAGGATGCGAGACTGGGTAGATGCACCGGCTCAAGCATTCGCAAATAGCGAAGCTGTCGATCCTGTCAAGGAAAAAGTCTCGTTTGACGCGTCTCCATACCAGTCGAATCGCCAGCGACGGAACGGGAATGACAACGAGGATAAAACAGACTCTCGGGTCCCTAGTTTCATTCTCAGACTCTAGGTCAAGGTGGGGCCGAGCACAAGATAAATGGCTACTCTAATGTTCCTAAAGGCAAGCAAGTAGAGATAAAGAGGCAGAGACGGGCCAGATGTATGGAGCACCTGAAGATCGGCAAGCCGGGGGTAAGTACAGGGACTGGGCCAACAAGTCTCCGATGACCGCCTGGCGCGAGATCAGGAGCAAAAGGAGAGGCAGATTCGCCCGCCTCCTCTACGAGTTGGAATCCGGGAGATCCGAATGAGAAATGTGTGGCGTTGAGAGGCAAGTGGAAATTTCCCAGGATTTTGAGCTGGGACTTCGGAGATTCGGGTATGGAAATTCAGGATCCGAATTTATCTGAACTCTGTCAAGTCCTAGCCGTGCCTGGAGGAGTGCTGTATTCTGATATATTCCAAATTTTCCCCAGTTGTCGCAGCGGCATACTTATCGCTTTGGGTGGAAGTCATGGATTGAATCGGAACCAGAACGTTGGCTCGGTCGACGTCACAAACAATGCCCATGGCCTTTACGGACGCTCTGACCGACCGTGACCGCGGCCGGACCCGTCGGTGAACTTTTTATCCTGCTCTTCATCTAGGATCTCCTGGACCTCATCTTCAGCTTCATCTTCCTCGTCGCTATCGAACTCGCCTCTCATACTCCGCCACCACCGACTACTCTTCCAGATGCCATCGACATCACCTCTGGCCTCTTCATCCTCCTCGGTCCCAATCAACCACGTCCACTTCTTCAAGAACCATCGCTTCGCTTCCCAGCTGCGAGTGCTCCACGCTACACTATCGCGCATATCCCGCTTCCGGCACGAAGGTTTTCTCGAATACCTGTTCACCAGCCCCGAGGTTCCTCCCCAACATACGAGTCCACCGTGCACAAGGTCCTGGAACAATTCGGCGTGGTCGAGGACACCTTGGACGGCGGCACGGACCGCTTGGTCCCGGAAATGGGGGAATATGATACAGTCGAGGTAGCTGGGGTGCGGGTGGAGCAGCTGGGCAGGGCTGGGGCGGAGGGTGCTGTTGACGGAGTTCATGTGATGATGCAATTGAGGCGTGATCGAGATGGCGGTGTCGAAGAATTGGTACTCTACATGGCTCGATGTTGAGTTCCTTGGGTACAGATTGTTGAGAGCGACGTAGCAACTGGGGAAATTGGAAGGATGGTCGTTGAGGTATGCGGAGCGAGAGATACCGATCGATAGGCCAATGGCGAGGGAGGCTTCAATGTTGTCCTCACCAACCAGGCGCATATGGTTGATGTAGGGATCCGCAACGGTCTTGGGAGAAGGGAAGCGGAATCTATTGGGAATACGGTGGGGTGCAAAGGTCATCCGGACCGGGGATTTCGAATGAGACGCAGACGGAACGGAGTCCTGGCGGGGGGAATTCTGCGGCCCTGCCCAGATCCCCCCCAGGTTCATATCGCCATAGTCATCGTGAACGTGCTCCACTGACTCGAGATCGGGGGTGGGAGAAGGAGGAGCGACCGGTGCCCGAATACTCGGAATCGACCCTTGGCCAAAGGGCAGGTCTCCAGCAGCCACGAATGCATCTGCCAGATCGATGACGCGAGGGTCTAGGCGATTTGTCGTCTGGGAGGGCTTCCGAAACAAAGGGACATCTTCCACGTTGATGTCGGTGGTGGACACCAGGGGGGTATCGAGGTTGCTGGAGGTTGAGACAGCTTGCTCCTCGAGGACCTTGAGTTTCTTCTTTAGTCTCTCGCGATATGCCTTCTGGGCCCTCCTATTCTGCTCACGTCGTTTATCCGTGACCAATCGAACGTATGGTTTGCGAGGAGCACGACCGGGAGTTGCAGACTGGGCGGTAGAGTTTTGGGCCATCGTGTCGGTATCTTGCGAGAACTCGAAAGGTGAGATGAATCTGGCATGATGAAGTGAGCCATTATTGGGAGCAAAGTTCTGGAGGTATTATGATGGGAAGGGAGGATGTTCGGCCGAAGGACGAGTAAGCCAAATATAAGCCAACAGGCGACAATCCAGTGGGGGCACGTGGGAGGCCCGGGCGGTAGTCCCAAGATCCGATGCCAAGATATTGTTTTTCAGCGGGGAGGCTGACTAATACAACGGACAGCCGGCGCTGATTGGAGAAAATATCCCCGCTTAGCACCACTATCCCTTCTCCACCGACGTCGACGTCATTCCAGATGCGCTCAACTCAAAAAATTTATCCTGGTTATCATTTTGGTGTCCAATTCCCGCCAGCCTTGCCCAAGAAAGCATAACGAACTCCAAATATGCCCTTCAAGTCTCCCTGTTCCTTTCGGTGTCATCACGTCAGTCCAACTTAGTTTCAGTTCAGTTCAGTTTAATTCCATTGCCCTTTTACCACGTCCTGTCATCGCGAATAGACGCCATATATGCTTTGCCATTGTACCAGCTCTCTCGTCAATGTTTCCATCATTTCCACACTTCCCATATTCCCAAAGTCCTTTTCATCCATCATGATCACGCCAGTGTCTTCGTCTTTGGAGTTGACCTCTTTCAGACCGGCTTCCACCGCTTTCGCCAAATTCGCCGTCGGAGAATTGTTGCTCTTGACTCCGTTGGGTGTGTTGGCTCCTTTGGCGCTTGTGCTTCCACTTGAATGCTGTGTTTGTGTTCCTCCTTCCGTTTGCATATGCGCAACAAATTCCAGAATGGCAGCCACTCGTCTCTTCATCTCGTTCAGGCTGGTTCTGGCCGGATGAGTTTTGGCTTTCGAGCTCCGTCCGCTTTCACCATTTATTCCGTTGGCACCCGGAGGGGACCTTCCACTTCCATTGACATCGTGGGAGGCATCTCTCATCGGCGTTTCGCCCTCTTCCCCATTGGCCTGATCTCGGGTATATTGATTTCTCCCCAGTCTCCCTCGTCTCGCCGGCGGTCGTCCCGTTTTGCGATTGTTGTTCGATCGGCCCGAGGGGGGGGTGTCGGCGTTGACTTTGCCATTGGACACCGCGGATTTGGAAGGGGAGAGACTGGGAGTGGGAGGTGGAGAATCTATCCGACCGTCAGCCACAGGCCGAGAAACGCCATCCCAGGCGGCGTTGTTACCTTCTCCTCTTCTCCTCTCTGATCGAGCATTTCGTTTACTCGCCGCCTCTGCTCGTTGAGCGGCCTGCTGTTCCTTTTGTTTATCTCTCGACTCTTTTTCTCGGTTGTTTCGTGCGGCGGCTCCTCTCAGTTTCTGGGAAGCAGTGCGTCCAGATCCCGTCCCTCTCCCAGGCGCATCTTCCGCATGTGGCTCAGGTGATTCACTGCATTTGGACACGGCGGACGAGGAATGCGAGCCCGTACGCTGTCGTTTTGGATTGCCCTTTTGACTATTTCACGTTAGCAGATGTCCTGCTTCGAAGCCCTTGATGCCATACTCGTCTGTGTCGTCCCTTGTCCGCTTGCCCAGAGAGCCCATTTCTTTACTCTCCTCAATGGCTCTCCGTAGCATTTCGTCTTCATCATACGCACCGCGACTGTTCATGGTCGCCCGCCTCTTCGTACTCTCGATTTGCTTGTTCTTGCTATCTTTCTTGCGAGATTGTTCGGGGTTGGAGGAGGGGGGAGAAGATCGAGTCGACCGTGCTTCAAGAACAGGGAGGTAGCGAGAAGATCTGGGTCTAATATGTCCTGATTAGCGCGCGGTTCCTCGCATGGGCCACAAGTACAACCGGCAGTGAAGCCCAACGACGCAGGACAGATATTCAAAACCGAAGAGGAAATAAAGCGGTTCCAAGCGGCCATCGCAACCGACAATGGCCGCATATTGAAGGGAGTCGCACTTACCCATTGGCAGACTTTGTAATCTTGTGGAATTCTGGCTTGCATTGTTCACAGTAATACTCATCGGGCAACATGGACTCATCAAGCAAACCCATACAGCCACCATGTTGCCAGACACCACAATTGTCGCATTGAACAAAGAAATTGCCCGTGTCATCAGTCAGGGTGTCGGTGTTGGGCTGCTGTTGTCGTATGCTGGGCGAGGGGCCAGGATACTCCGCCTGTCCACATATACAGCGAGTGACCTCCTCTTCAGCAGGATCGACTCCATTCTCTTCGTTATCATCCTCCTCCTCTTCCTCCACGGGTTGTTTGACAGCTGGTTGCTCTTTGTCCTCTCCATTTCGCCTGCTGCGACGCGGTGCGATCTGCTCCGCACGAGAGGTCGAGTCGGCGCCATCAGCGGATTCGGATCGTTGGGTGGAGGGTCTTCGCGGGGAGGTGGTACGATGACTCGCTCGAGTATCTCGATCAGGTTTGGAGTTGTTGGAGGAGTGGGAATTTGTGTGATTGGGACCGGGGGGAGGTTGCTGAGAGGAGCGGGCACGGGAGGACCGTCGAGGACTCATTTTGATGTGTCGGGAAGCGGTATGAATTTTCTGGGCCTGGGTCAGTAACGGAAATAGTACGACAAGACTGGAGACAGCAGACAGATGGGGGAAGAGCCGTGGTGGTGACGGGAGAGGGTTGCGCGCCGTCAGAGGGTGGAGGAAATTCCTCGTGTCGGCAAAGCGATGGCCGTGGCAGGAAATTGCGGTTGAAAATTGTTGGAAAGGTTCGAAACGAGAGAGAGCCAAAATGCCGGCAATGGAAATAGGGTTGTCACATTGCTGTTAATGGATTGAAAAAAGATCTGAAGAAGAGGAGGAGAAGGAGGTGTGCGCAAAGTACCTAAGAGGGTTGCAGCACTGCGGTGACGGAGCGAGTGAATGAGTGAGTGACCTGACAGACTGCGCTTTTCGCCCGGCCCAGTGCCAAACGGCCGACTGGGCCGATGAGAGGCTAGAGCGCAGCAGGCTAGGCGCCAGACGGGTTAGAGGGAAGGGAAAAAGCGGGTCGTGTTCATTGGCCTTTGAAATGACACCCCAGTAATTAATGCAACTCGTGCTGCGGGCGCAGTTTTCCCCTCCAGAGGCTTCTCCAATTGACACACGGCCATTCCCCAACACACGACCCTGCATATACGGCTGATAAGTAGAAGTGGTATATAGCAATGGAGGATGCGCAGATCGATTTCGACATTGCAGAAATAACGGACATATTATACAGTGTTCTGCTGGAAAGGTACATTGCTCTGTGTGTATAGGAGGGAAATTTGAAGAGCTCTGGAAACAGATAATATACCAGGCACGTATTCGTACGGTATGCGGAAGTACCTCTTACTCCAATCCTATTTCGGACTAGTGCACTGTCCCCACAATCTGTGAATCACGTGCCAACTTTAATCTGAGCCTGTGTATCTTCACCAATCATCGCGTCGCATTTCTGCCCCGCTCAGTTACGCGTCGCTCAGATGCACTTTCAATCAGTTCCGTCTGCCCCTTTCTCCTATACTACTGATCATGTTTCCTTCTACTGTACTTTTAATTCCTTGCTCAAGTTCAGTCCATCCACCCTGTCCTACCTACACCCATCATTAACTCCCTCCCCAACCTGTCATATCGCCGTTGCTATCATTTTGTCCGTGCCCTCCTCCGCCAGCACGTCATTCCAGTTGAATGGATGAGACCACGTACAGGTTCTAGCATTCTCGACCGGAGGTCCAGAACGGCACAGCATGTATCAGAGCCACATCACGGACATGGATGAATGTCACGGCAACAAGAATCAGTTGATTTCTCGACTCAGGTTCTCATAATCGAGGCTGTCCTTCCTGGCTAATCCATGTTCACATCCCCGTTGTGCGACAAACATGTCAGCCCACAGGTCGAACGGGTTTTGCTTCTCATGCCAGCGCGGCCCGGAACAGGAAACGACATTGACCACCAAACTTGGTTTTTTCCTCTTTTGCGAACGTCCATACCGCCTTCCCTGCTTCGACTGTACTCGCCACGTATGTGATCAATTCTCTGAAGGCCTCATAAGGTGATGGAGCCCACACAAGCTCAACTACTGTATCATTCCGAGTCGTTCTCGCCGATGTGGAATGGTGCATCTGACATTGGCATTGCCACAGTCGCAACGGACGAATCATACACAAATTGTTTGACCGAAGCCTCCTTCGCCGCTGCTATCAATGAGTTCATAGCCCCAGCAGCAGTTTGCGGAATGACGTGATTGGGATTGGGCCTCCCAGTATTGACCGTCCCAACATAAGACCTCAGCGTCAACTCCGCGCATTGCTTCGTCATATGCATTGTGCGCGGCCATATCTTTCACTACCACCAAACCATTCGAAGCGTCTTTTTCAAAGAGATCCCTTCACAAGCCATTGTGTTTGGGCAAGATTTCTCACTGTGCCACCCACATTGGATCCCCATTCTAGGAGTTGCTGAGTGCCTAGGGCAGCGATGTCGCCCGTCACTCCCGTGACAAGGATGATAGAGCCTTGTGGTGAGGTCGTCTGAGATACCATTGTTCCAATGCCGATTCGGGGCCCAGGGTCTCAGGTAAGTTTCAATGGACACATGGGAAAAAGTCTTGGCAATTTGCTCTGAAGGTCGAGCCGAGGTGTCAAACGAGCTCCCGACAGAAGAAAAAAATCTCTCCACAAGTCGTCCAATATATATTTCTAACCGCAAGGACTTCCAACCAAATTCTTTCACCGGACCAAAACATACAGCGCCCCCTTGAAGGGACCCTCAAGCTTGGCCGGCTGGCTGGCTCACTCCCATCGAACAACTCGTTTCCTCTGGCAACATCTCACCTTGCCCTTCCTCCGACGGATCAATTGACTGTCTCGTCTCTGTGGCCCTTTTCGATGCAAAATATTGTTTCTCCAGTTTTCTCGATTTCAAATCAACTCGTCTGGAAGCCGAACCTTTGCCTGATACTAGTCACACCTCGACAGAGCAATGAGACGAGGCTGTCCTGCCGCAACCAAGTCGGAGGACGAAGGAGGACAAATGCGGTCCAGACGATGCTTCAGGCACAGCGCGCCAAAGTCTACCTCGATCTTTTTCTTTCTGACACCCCTTCAATCGTTGGACGATTCACTACGACCAGACCAGCAAGGGCAACCACCACCCATTGTAATTACAATCTCACCGCTGTTCTATGCTGTGTTCTAACTTCCCAACCATCTTCATCCCATCCCGTTACATTACACGCCTTACCTTACCTCAAACCTTCACCTGGATCCTCGTCCACCTCGGCGCAAGGCTCAGAACAAACGTGCCACACGCACGCGCAAACATAATCACATAGGTCACTTTCAATCTGTTCATATACGCTCCGACAATGCCTCCCACTTCATTCGGTGCACAATCCTTCTCAAATTCCGTCGCGCCCGTACTTAACACAATCCGATGATCCATTCCCAGCACATCATCCGGAAGAATATTGAGCAAGCGATTCGTGAACCAAGCCCGAGCGACGTCAAACCCAAACACTACCGCCCAACGTCCAGGAGAAAAGCATCATTGCACTGACGAGGTCGACATCAGCTGAGTCCGCAGTCGTGTTCTGCGCCACGGTTCGCCGGGGTCTAGAAGATCGCCCCGATCCCAACACCCAGAAGGACTTGGTAGCCAAACCATTCAGACGAGTCGCTATGGATGTGCGGCGTGTAAATAAGACCCCGAACCGATGGCAGCAAGCGAGGTGTCAGCGGCCATTAGGGACGCAAAACGCTGGACTGCAGAAATCAGAATGCCAGAAACGATACTCGCAAGACCCGCGCCGGACGTGGTCCGGAAGCCGATCGGTGGATAATAGGGGGCACGAAGAAGACGCCGGTCGCGAAGAAAGTTGCGGTGCACATGGTGGCCCATGCCGTGGCCGTTAAGCCGCAAGGAGAGCAAGCTGTTATCTTACTACTCGCGGCCTCATCCCTTGATCGCTTTGAGAGCGATAAAGTCAATATCAATAGACTAGTCAACTCAATGAGCTCCATCGCCAATACCTCGGTATCACTCTTGCCTATCCACTGGCTTGGCCAGTCTGATGGCCACAGCACGGGAGGCAATGAGTCTGCGGATGACGAGTGCTCATTCTATGGAATGGAGCTCTATCAAGACAAAAGTGATAGCTAGGATGCCTGAGGTCATGAGCGTACAGACCATGCCCAGCGCGTTTCATGGTGTCGTCATCCCGTCCCATTGCAGCGCGAGGAGGTAGCATGTCACTGTGCCAACAACAGTCAGGACCCCAGGGATGTCCACGTGGAGGACTTTCTCTTTTAAAGGAGGAGCTTGTGGTCTTGCGGCGCGAGGCGTATGGAAGCCTAGGAGGATAGCAAAGGTAGCGACGCCGACGCCGATGGGCAGGTTAATGTAGACTAGACATGTAGTTAGCGTCTTCTATCCTAATTTCCTGCTCAAAATGGAAGATACGCGAGACGGGAAGAAAAAAGGGGAAGAGTAGAAAAGAGACAAATCAAGACACCGAGAACTCGCGGAAGAGATGGGAAGGAATGGGAAGAATAGAACAGACAAAGTATATAACGTACAACACCATCTCCACGAAAGATGCTGGGTGAACCTCCCCTCTTCCTCGGTAACGGCTCAAGGACACGTGCCACGTAGAAAAACGCCCACAAACCCAATGAATACGGGGCCTGAATCGCACCGGGCGCGCTGAACGCGATAATCGTATGTCACCGCTTGCGAGTCCTGCGCCGCCGACCCTCGCAACAGCGCAGCCGACAATCAAGACGGGAGATGACGGTGTGACAGCGCATACAAGGCTGGCGAGCTCGAAGATGAAGACGGCGCGTAGATACGCGTACTTCAGGTCGAAAAACTTGAAGGCTTCGCCCCAGACAGGCCGAATAGCGGCAATGACCGGGTAGAATGCGGACCTGTACCAGACGACGTCGCCGAGAGAGTGGAAGCAATTGGTGATGGGGGAGACGGCGGTGCCGATAATGGTTAGGTCCAGAGCGACGAAAAAATTGCAGAGGACAGTGGAGAAGTGTTGAACAAAGGGCTATTGTGTATAGGCTCCACAGCTGAAACACTGGTGAGAGGTTTCCATAGACGACGACGTTACTGATGGTTGATCTGCGTAGGGACGTAGTATTCGCACGTCTATAAAAGAAGCCTCAATACCTCAACAAGTAGATATCTCGAGTTGCACCCAGTTTGACAAGAAGGTGACGACCACGAGGTGTAGGCCGGTTGGAAAGTCTGTCCCTACTTCTTCCGCCGAGGTATCGGCTTCGTTTTCTTCATTAAAGGTCGAGATAAAGCCCCGTTCTTCCTCAAGAGTCATGAAGGGCGCTTGAGCCCTTGTGGGTCTAATGACGGTTGTTTCTTTAACCATAACGAGTACACTGACGAGTGTACGGGTCGAAGGGAGTTTGTTGATGCAGTTAAATATGAACATAGGCACAGAATCTAAACGTATAGACTCGGATGAATGACGCTGGTTTCAATGAAGAACGTCTTCAAGTCTAGAGAACAAAAGCATTCAATACAAAACCCGAGCAAAGCGAACACACGGATGAACAGTTGGGATGGACATCACTTACAGAACTCGGTGAATCTCTTGGATGAGAAAGCATGTTTATCTTTGTCTTGATTTGTCTCATCAGCCATGGCCGTGTCGGGTTGAGCGTCGAATGGAGAGAGCAGTCGTGCCGTCCCACCTTTCCTCTGTATGCTTAAGGCCGTGACCTGGGCCGAGCAGCCCCTTTTCCTTCCGGAGACACGACGTTGTCAACATATTTTCCTCCTTAACGATCCGAAAGCATGAGGATAGGGATCCATTTGTCTGGTCTTGACGAAGACCAACAGTCAATTCAGCTCAAATCTTCCTCGGGAACGAGTTACTTTGACTCTTCAGACCCACCTTGATGGACAGTCAAGCTTCTTTAGATATGATTTGGACCTGTTGGGATGTCATGAAACACTGATTGAAGCATCACAAGGAATTTTCGAGGCAAGATAGGAGACTCTCCCGGACGAAGTCACTCAGTAGAAACCATATGAGCCGCGACGAGACGGATAACTTCTCTTCTGCGACGGGAAACTTGAGTGCCAACCTCCTCACCGATATCGAAGTCATTGACACTGACACCTAGAAAGGAGAGATATCAGTGTCATTAACGGAGCGGCAATGACTTCGAACGCTGATCGAAGTTCAAGATGGTTAGCATACCCCTCAGTCGGTATGTACCTACGTGGCCCATCTTCGCCCAAAAGGAGACGGTGACTTCGACCATATTTCCCCCTGGCAAATTTAAGGCACTCAGCTCGGAACGCACTTCGAGTGACAAAGAGAAGAAACATAGTACTCGGTCCAAGAAGTCCTCACGCGTCCAGACCACTCTGCTTACTCAGCCGAAGCCAACTGTCGTTGTTCCCTCAGACCCGGGCTGACCAGGGCAGCAGATGCCATGGCATGGTACCATCCACAGCACGGAACACATTCGAGGGCGGTATGGGAATGAAACTTTGGATCTAAATTTCCGGAACGGAGACAAGGAGGAGAGAAACCCGGTTGACTTTCGGCTGAGACACCCGTCACGTCCCGTCTGGTCGTCGTGACGGATCATGGATGTGATTGGGATCGGATGATTCAGGCTGGCTACAGGCTGCAGCGCCAAAGGGTCCGGATCGCCTCGGCCCTGTGTTCCGGGTCTGTCGTGCGGATGCTCGCTGTTGCCATCGAAACGGTGAGGGGGGCAGGACATTCAGTTCGCGGTCGTCAGGGGTCGAAAGTCGCCGGTCTGGAAAGAAACTTGGGAACAAAGTAGAATGAAGAAAAGAATCAAGATGGATGCGGATGTTGGTGACAATAATTGCGATGTGTAAGACCCCTCGGCAGCCCCTTCGGAGGCACCCCGGGTTTTCTATACTTTGTGCCTCCTTAATCCTCTCGTGTAACATAAAGTCATACCAGCATACAACATCATGTCTGGTTCTGGACCCATATTGGCAACATATGTCAACTATCAAGCTTTGTACGTTGTGGTATCTCCATGCGCAATGTCGCTCGTGTCCCATGCCCACCGACAACCGAAACGCCACTAGACGCCGATACTGGAAGAAAATGTTACGTCTTTTCAGATAGATATGCCTCAGCGAAAAAGCGTCTTGATGGTACAAGGGATGCGGCCGTCTCATCGTAACTTCATCTCGTCATCCAAACGAAATCTATCGCCCTGGCACGGTGGTGTATGTGTGTTGTGTACTTTAAAACAAAGGCTCAGAACTTGAACGCGACAGAGATCCCGGGTCATCTTGCTCGCTTAACCTCTGCTGTTTGGGGACCTGAACTCCCCCGGCTTTGGTCACTCCATCTCTACGAGCCATGGACAGAAGTTCTTCTTCCTTGGATTTCGCCTTGGCCTTGGCCTTTGCCTTGCCCTTCCCTTTGGGGTCCGGTGTCGTCTCTTCCCGTCCTAGGTCTCGACTTCCAGTTTCATCTCTCTTGTGTTTGATCAAAAGACTGAGCTGACTCTTTGTACGTGGGAGCTCCATCTCATCAGAGGAAGAATCGTCCGAAACCACGTCGCTTACAACCGTAGGTCGTGATCGCAACGGTCTCGTATTCTCGTCCTGTAGCGGGGGCCGAGTTTCTTTTTCTTTGCCTTTCCGTAACTCCTGTGGAATCTCATCCGCAAAACGGACGACACTCCCTGTCTTTTTCATGCGACCGAGACCAGCCAGATTTGAAGAACTCGCCAATTTCTTTTGAGTTTCGACGAATTTGCCCCGGAAATCTCGGTCCACCAATTCACCAGAGGGAAGAGCAGGCGCAGTCGTTGTCAGAGCCGGGTTCTCGGTGCTCGAATCGACACTTTGCCACGAGGAAGCCGAAGGCAAAGCAAAGACTGTTCCGCTCGCCGTTGCTATTGTCACACATGATTAGAGAGATGATCCCAAGTTCTTCGGAGTCCACTTACAGGGAAGATTGGGTAATCCGGGAGGAAGATCGTGGGGATTGAGGCGACCCGTCCCGGTATCACCGGTATCCCGAGAAGCGGAACCGGAACGGGACGTCCCTGAATGTCCCCTGGGCGACTTGGGTGCATTCGGAGCCACTGGAGATCGTTGTGTACTCGATTTTCGTCTTGGAATCTGGGGTCGTGTCCTCGATTTTCCACTGGTGGCTGACACAGGCAATCTCGCTGGTCCACCACTAGCGGTTCTGCTCAAAGATGGTCTGGATGATGATTCTGAAGGGGTATGGGAAGGAGAACGCGAATTGTTATCAGATTGTTCTCGCCCAGAGGGAGTGCTTCGCCTGGGGAGCCGCGCACCCGGTGTTTCATCAGGGGCGGGAGGAAGTCGGAAGTCTTGCAATGACGGGACGACATTTTGACCAGTCCGAGGACTCGAATCCGATGTTGGCGGGATCCCCGAAGCAGGGGATACTGAGGAGGATCTATTTCGAGCTTGTCTCGTGGCAAGGGACGGCTAATGGATTCCAGTCAGTTCCCATGCAAACAAATCGCCAGTACGATCGCACTATACCTGGGGAAATGCGGCGTGAGATAGATTGGGATGATGGTCTCCGATCGGAGTCAAGTCCAAGTCGTGACTACATCGCTGCCATAAACGAACCAAACGAACAGTTGTCATAGATTGCGTGAGGGATGGACTGCTCCAAACTCTCCAGAAGAGATTGCGAGCTCTTGTGCTTGCATGGTCGCGAGTGGCATCGCTTTGGATCGCGTACACTGAACCATTTGAATCAGCCATTCTCAGATGCCGTCCAAAGGGGACGAGCTCAACCAGACCTTTCCAAAACCTTCGAAGGAACTCGCCATTGGTAAGGTGAATATCCGAATCGTCAAAGGCATATCGTTCCACCGTGGTCGTCGTATTAATAAGTCCTTGGGGTAAAATGGCCGTCATGACATGCGATGGTCAAGGTTTCTCTCCTACAGCTCCACAAAGCCGACAGTCAACCGCAGGACCCCGAGCTGACCAACACATAATCCTTTCTTTTGGGGGGACAGTTGAATCACCGACCGACACAAAGTCGATAGAGAAATCAAGGACCGAAATGACGGCCAGAGCCGGTGTGCGAAAGAAGGATGGGGCAGCGGCGGAGCAGGAGCCCGCCGCAGCAAGCGCAACTTGTATGAGGAAAATCCTCAACGACCAAAAGATCGGTGTGCGTGTAGGCAGGTCGGGTGGATATGACTGGTTTTTCTTCTGTACGGAAGGGCAGAAAAGAAATGGGCCTTGGGGCTTGAGACTCTGATCGGTGGAGGCGTCAGAGCTGGAAATGGAGATGGAGACGGTAAGCGGCGGCAAGCAGGATACGAATGAGTCGCATTCACTGAGTGACTGAGCTTTCCACTGGCAAGCTGCCAGCAAAGTTCCAAGGTTCCCCCCTCAAGTGAGAGGGCAGAATGCTGGATCCGATGCCGAAAGCCTAAAATAACAAGAGCCAGTAGAACAACAGGCGCGGAAGAGACCCGTTGGGTAAAGCCGGAGTCTGAGTCTCAAAGCTTAATAAGAGACGGACTCCTTTCAGGTTGCGAAAGAGACACCTGAGGACATGAAATATGAAACTGAATCAGGAAGAGGCAACACGGAATGGTGACGGGGAGGAAAGACAAGGCAAGGCGAGTGGCGGACTGGGCCCACGTAGTGGCGGTGATAGTGATAGGGGATGCGGACGGAACAGGAGGCCAGTGAACAAGGGGAGAAGAGAATGAATGGAAGAGGCCCGGGTATATCGAAATAGAATATGAATGTGAGAGCTATCCCAGGGTAGAGCAGGCGCATGTCGCGCGCATGTCGCCAGTCAGACTTCATCCAAATCAAGTCAGCCGACCAGAGGCGAAGGCCAGGTGGAGGGATGGGTCAGGGTGAAATTCAACGGCGGCACAGTCCAATGCAGGAACCAAATTCGGACTGCAGGGCACCGCAACTCTAGCAGGGGACGCAAAAAGTGGATGTATTGACCCGAGGGATGGAAAGAGTGTGAGAATTGTCATGGACAAGGGAACGAGGGAGGGACGGGCGGATGGAGGAAGGGTGACAAAGCGGGGAGGGAGGGCGAGGATCGGAGTCTAGAAGGGCACGAATGGAGCCCAAGGGGAACATGTCATGGGAACAAAAGATGTCGGGCAGAAAGATGAGGGCCTGCCTGGTCGCAAAAGGGATTTCCGAAGGGAGGACGAGGAGTCGACCAAAGGTGGAGGGGAGGAAGAGTGGAGGGGTGGATGAGAATGAGAAAGCTCTCATTGGTACAGAAGCTACCCGGGAGACTGGGTAAGATGAGATGGGGAGTTCGATTGGATGGGATTAGACCCATATGGAATAGAAGAAAAGGGACAAAAGGGAGAAGCAGAATAAGAAAGTGGAGTCGAGGAATTGGGAACAGAAGAGGAGAAGAACGGGAAAGCGTAGAAGCAGAAGAACCTGCCAACCAGAATTAAGATCAGATGGCGAATAGTACGTAATCCATACTGCATGTAGTCCAGGATACATATCCCGATCAGAGAATCAACGCACATGAGAGCTTCCTCTGTTCTTTGTACACAAATAGATGATATTTCCAGAGACCTCGGCGCCTCGGTCCAAACGTTCCTTTGTACGTAAATACACCGCAGATATGACTGGTCCCGTCTTGATCTGTCGGTCAAGAGACAAGTGCCATTTTTGCCTCCCTGGGACGCAACCATGTACCAGGTACAAGTTTTCCTATGTCGCCTGCGGTTGCCGGACATGGTCGCTAGTACTTACCGGCTTCAGGCCAGCAGAGGCGACATCGTAGTACCGCTTCACCTTCCTTTTTCCCTGCACTACATTTATTCTAGATTTTCCTTCAACGTTGCATTTCACCCCTTGCTGCGTCCGTGTACGTTCCTCGATTCAGCTTTCCATTCCAGCCTTAACATTTCGCACCATCTCCTGACCCGGGTCGGACGCCTTCCGATCTACCAGACCTACACACTCCTGGTGCGTGCCTGGTACCAATCTCACCCTCCCAATGTGTCTTCTAGTACTGTGCCGGCCGACTCCGCCCCCCCCCCCAATCGATCATCCATAGACCACCCACCCCCCGGCTGCTTTGATATCGATCTTATCTCAACCCCGAACAAAAATGTCTCAAGAAAAGAAAAACAAAAGACAAACCCACCACGACGACAAATGATTGATGATAATCAATCACGTCACCAGCAATCTCGTACCTGTTCGCCCAACTCCATGGCCCACCGTTTGCCCATCTCCGCCCTTTTCCCAAGAACCCATCACCCCTGATCAAGAACTCTGTGCCGCCCCAACATTTCATCATCCCACGAGATAAATTTGTACTAGTACAAGCATCCACCACGGATATACTAGCTCTGGTGCTAAACAATCCACATGGCACATGGGATACGGGACTTGGACCTAGCTAAGTCGTCCTAGGACGGAGAAAGAATTACTTCAACGTTTCGACCATGTTTGGGGTGCAGCCATCTGTACGCAACCTGTGTGACAGGCTGAATGCCAGGTGGCCAAGAGCGCATCTCTGAGTCTGGACCTGTCGATTTTGTCCGGAGATCGTCGTGTCAGCGTTTCTGCTCTAACAACCGATGCAGTAGCCGCACCCGCCAAAGTGGGCATTCAGTTTAGGGGCGCTTCTTTTCTGATGCCCAACGACAATGGTCCATAATCAGGGCCCTCAGATATCCGACATTTCGAAACAACAACGGTTGACAGTGGTTGACCGCGGTGTCTCGAATCACACAATGACGCGGCGGCCACTCCCCTATTCATAACAACGATGACGAAGATAATCCCACGTAACCTAACCTTCGGACGAGAACCGCTAACGCTCCCCGTGTTACGCGGGTCAATTCCCCGTCTCCCGATCCAGCTGGGCGCTGATCATCTGCTCTTCTGGTCTGGAATGGCTAACCCTTTTGTTCCGCAAGTCACGTTCCAACCTTGCAGTTGCAGACGGTGTGACTCGACTTTCTCCAAGGCCAAAAGTCGAGACAAATAGGAATGTTGCTTCGCAAACCACCTCCTCCCCACCCGATAGCCACTGGAAGTTCCTCGTGAAATCGAACCCAGTAATGCACGGTAATTTTGTGTTGTCAATCCCCATCTATGTACTTCCACACCCAGCGCCCATCCCAATCCATGCCACCAGTTGTCTTGGCTCGAGGATTCAGCTTCCATGCCCCTGACCAACCAGAAATCCCATTCTACGGTTTAGATAAGTATTAAATCCCATTTTCACCGGGCCGCGCTTTTCCGTTCTATTCCCCCACACACGCGTAATAAACAGCAACGTGTAACCAGGACGAGAACCGACAAGTTCACGTCTACGTGCATGTATATCTGCAAATGTCAAGTCAACCGAATGCACCCCCCAAAATAAGCTGAAATTTGGGAACATGGGGAGTTCAAAGCCTGGCGCGGATGAATCGGGCCGGCCGTTGCTAACCGCAAGCATGAAAACCGCGGATTCGCGACGGAGAAAGTCAATGGGAAGAAGAAGAAGAAAAAAAAAAAAAAAAAAGCTCACCCTCCATCTACACGCAAATCAGCTCCAGTGACGTATCGACTAGCATCGCTGAGCAAGTACACAACAGCACCCTGCAAGTCTTCAGGAGAGCCCATTTTACCGACGGGGATTAGTGAAGTCCATGTCTTGTTCAGTTCCGGGTTGTCGTCAAGGATCTTGCGTGTGCTGGAGAAGCATTAGCGAGTTTGTTTTATACACTCTTTTGGTTCTGAAGAGGTCACTTACAGGGCCGTCAGCATATAGCCTGGGCTGATGCAATTGACTCTGATATGTGCATGTGCCCATTCCACAGCCAAACTGGAAGCCAGATGCCTGACAGCCGCCTTTGCAGCGTTGTAAGGTGCTTGGGGCTGAGGAACGTTGACAATGGCGCCGGACATGGACCCAATCATGACAATGCTGCCATGAGTGATATTGCGCTCCATAAGGTGGCGGGCGACACCGGTGCAAAACAAGTACGTGCCGTCAACATTCACGCCCCAGAGCTTCTTCATTCGTTCGTAAGGGTATGTCTCGGCCGCATAATTCTCGGTGAAGCCGGCGGATGTTACGAGGTGGTCGATTTTGCCGTGTCGGTCGAGGATCTCCTTAATACAGGCATCCACGCTCTCCGGGTCTGAGACATCGGCGTAGTGGGCTGTCACCTTGGGAACCACGTCGGGGTCGTCGGGGTTTTCGCGTCGGAACATGTTGATCAATTCCTGGGCTTGTTTCTCGCCTTCCTCCTCTGTTCGGGATGGTTAACCAACATCTCTCTTCCCCCGAAGAACAAATCCGGGAGACAAGGAGGGTAAAGAAAACTTACTATTCAAATCAACAATGGCCAAGTCCGCACCAGAAAGAACCAGGGCCTGACCCATGACCAACCCCAACCCTCGAGCGCCACCGGTGACGACAGCAGTGCGACCCTCGAGTGAGAAGGTAGGTAAAGTCCTGACAAATTGCACACCCCCTCGACCTCGGAGGGGGCGTTCATGCGGTTGCAGCTCAGACTCGTCGTCTGGATACTCGACAACAATGTCCCTGTCTGTACGAGAGGCGGATCCTTCGTGGGGACCGGCTGATGTGCCGGTGGCATCTGTGCTGGATTTGTGGTAAGGATCTGACGAATCCTTTCGACGTGGGCTGAAGGCGATTTGGCTTGTGTTGGTGGTGCTCATCGGGCGGAACGCGGATGGTCTGAATGTTGTGCTGGTGGTAGGATGGGCGAGGGTAACCCTTCTGGGTGCTTGTCGCAGCAGGCGGAGGGTCGTTGGTGTGTTCATTTTGGGATGGGTAGGTAAATGGATTGAATGTGAGTGCGCAAGAAGTGAAATATATGCGCTCCTTAAATATCTGTTTTTTTGGCTCAATCACGCCACCAGATGTTCAATGTATGCTTTCTCGGTGCTTCTTTTTTGGGGGGGTGTCTCTCTTGTCGTTCCCAATAAATAAAACATTGAATTTGAAGGATGAGAAGAATTCGCGTCCAGGACGTGTCTGTAAGCTGCAGCAATGTTTACGGTGATGGCGCGCGGGATAATGTTCCTTACCCCAACAAATGAGGGAAAAAAAAAAAAAAAAATGGTTGGCTTCCCCTCTCTCAACAAAGCCTTGGGAATCAATGGACGAGTCGAGACTCGAACGGTGCGAGGGGGCCGAGAACCAGAACTGGACTTTTTTGTTGTTTGGGCCTGGTCCTGCAACGTCCTACGCCTAGAGATGGCTGCGTTCTGGTTTGGGTAGAGAAAAATAATGAGGAAGAAATAAAAGAGGTCACCTGGAAGAATTACGTAGGTGCGGGACTTTAACCCCAGGGGAAAGAGGGAGAAGCTCTATGTTCCAAACCCTTTCTTCAGGTAATTAAAGGACGCAGACGTGGACACAAACATGGCGGGAGACAAACGACTCTGTTCATCTAGATGGCTCAAATGCTTGTCGTCACAATCTTTATCTCGCTCCCTGATCAACAAACCCGCCGAAAGGGTGACCGCATGTCTGAATCGCGATGGGAGAGTGGCGGAGTTTCTGCTCGTCCAAGGGGAGTGGAGAGCTTGCGCGGAAACCGGTTGGCGAAAGACACCAATGTTGCAGATTGAGCTTGTAGATCGTGCATGCTGCAAGGGTGTGATTGTGGCGGGTGCGTTGCTGGATGAGGTAGTTTAGCAGACTGGATAAGAGACACCTGCAGCATATCAATAGAGGACCAGATAAGTCGGTGAGTTAGGTGACAGATGACGACGGGTCCGTGCTGAGTTTCTCGTCCAGTTCTTCCGCACATGTTTTTGCTGAATGGCCCGTCCCTCATATGCAAGATGCGAGCTTGTGATCGAGTCCGGTTGGGATGTTCCTAAAGACTGAAGATCCTCTTGTCACCGTTCACCAACGACACGAAGAGAGATACAGTACGTCTACTGAAAAGAGCCCAAAATGCGACCTGAGAATGCAGGGATCCATCCCATGGTCTCAAGGCCAGCCACGAGCGGAGCATACCCGCATGCGAAAAGGTTTTGGCGCCGCCTAGTGGCCCTCTGGGCTTCTCGCTTAGGCTGTCCCTCCTTTCCCATGCCTGCAAGATTTTGAGTTTTGGGTGTGCCAGGTACAGGGGATTCGAGAAGATTGCTGTGTTGGGAGAGATCGAATTTCTCATCGTGAGATTTGAGATTGACCGTGGACATGGTCAGGAAATGGTACGATATGAATGAGTATGAAACACGAATAAGTTTATGGTGCTTGCTTTTTGACTTTTCCAAATCGCGGCTCCTCAATGCTCATGACACCTTGTCTTGCTTTCTATGTCTTTCTGTCCTCGGGAACAGGCGCGGTGTTTCTTTTCTCAGTCAAAATCCACCAAGTCCCTATCACGGCCGTGATAAACCACAGTACCAACCCAGCCAGATCAAAGCCGGCCGCCACCTTCATGCGATAAATCCCACCCTCCATCTCCGTCTTCTCGTTCAAGTACATTGTGCCAAAGATGCCCGATTGTGCCGCGAAGAGGATCGCAACCATCCAGTCCCACGCGAACAAGAGTGCGACTGTGCGATACGGCAGGAATATGGAGGCCAGGGAGTACAAGACGGCTGAGATGGCGGCGATAGATCCGACGGTCACGGCATAGACCTGCACGACAAAAATTAGTCTCGCGAATCCCGGCGGGATTGAATTTGTTGGACGAACCCATTTTTGGTCCGAGTACTTATCTTCCTTGTTGGCTTTGTTGAGGTCAACGCCATACAGACCGATGACCACCAGGCCGTCGATCAATTGCAAGGTGCGCAGAAAGAGGCTGATCAAGTTGGATTTGCGAAAGTTGGAAAGGAAATTGAAGATGCCCATTTGTGTCTGGTAGGTTGTGAATTGATTCGATTGATTTGATGATCCTGCGATGGGTGCCCGAGTCAAGCAAGACAAAAGGGATTTGATAATTGAGACGGAGTTTTTGACTTACTATTTAGTTTGCGGAATGTTTTGCTGATCTTGATGGGTGGAGGGAGGCTGGTGCAATATGAGGGTATCTTGCTCGGCACACAAAGAATGCGCCCGAAGCCTCCTTGTTTTGTTGGATCACTTTTTCACCGACAAACAGAAAGGAGCTGCCTTTTGTTCGCTTTGTTGAGTTTAATTGAGGGCACCGGTGATGCGTTGGTTACTTCAAGGTGTGGGCATCAGGTACCCCAGGAGCTCGTTGGTAGACAGGATGGGGGGAGACGGTGACAACACAAGTATCTCGTACGGCAATTCATACGGTCGCTCAAGATTATATTAATCAAAACCATTCAAACGAAATGTCCCAGCTAGTGACCTGGACTGCCGGTTATTTGTATCTGTGCGTCATTGTTTATGGTATGATATTTGCCACACCTGCACGGGTAAATTCATCTGCGGGGTGTTTTAGCAGTGGCTAGGGGCATCTGGTGGCTTGAAATCGGAGACCCTGAGCCGGCTGTTGCCTCGGATCTCGCCCCGTCACACTGAGATCAAGCTATGATCCCTGTCCAGATTCCAGCTTCGCTACCCATCCTTGCCGTGTCACTGCTTCACTTGTCCTTGCTTGGTTCGCATTGTATTCGTATCGCTAGGAGGAACTGACATGAGAAGCTATCAGTGTCTAATTGATATCTATCGTCATCGAGTCTTCAAGCTTTATGCCCCATAATCCAAACGAGGGAACAGGGACGAACACTTGGTGAGCAGAGAGGAGTATCTGTGCACACTATGCCAGGGCGGATTGAGGCTGGTAGGGATGGACAACTAAATACAACAACACAATGCAAATGGAATTAGAGGGGGGAAAAATGAATGACCAATTCAATCCAATGCCAAAAAAGCGCCAGACCACCAACAAAAGGCACAAAGGAACCAAATAGAGCAAACTCGGAAGAGGGACAGAGCCATAAATGCTCGTTGTCATCGTGTTCCTCCCCCTGCTCCAGCTCCTCCAGCCTTGTCCGTGGTCGCATTGACATTCGATGCTCCGGCCGACCCCTGCTTATTTGAAGTTTGCGCGGGTGGTGCCGGCATCGAAATTGGTTCATCGTCGTACCCATAATCCAGATCATCGTCTCCAAGTTGATCCAAGCCTTGATTGTCATACGCCGGATTCAATGTCCCCATTGCTTCTTTGGCAGCTTTGGCAGCATTCTTGGCCTGTTTCTTCCCCTTCCTCCCTTTTAGTTTGGCCTTTTCCAATAATCGTCTCTTTTCCGCCAGACGACGCCGTTCTTTTCGATCTTTGATTTCATATTGCCGGATGAGGGCACGTGGTGCTTGGCCAAAGATGCTCTCATACTCACAAAATTCACAGATCCAGATGTCTTCCGGCGCCGGAGGATGTTGCAAATTACTGTATTCTTGCTGAAGTTTTCTTTGACGAGCTGCCAGAGCATACACATCTCCTCTCCGTCTTCGGGGCTTCTTGCCTTGAGCATTCGTGTTGGTGTTGGCATTTGCATTCGTATTCGTCGTCGAAGCGGGTGTCGCTGCCGTTGCCGGCTGTTGACTACTCGACGGAGGAACATTCGGGGTGGTGTGCGTTCCTTGTGTGGACGCTTTCTGGTACGACCCAGATTGTGCCGGAGGAGCGAGATTGTTGCGTTGGCTGTATCCTGGAGAATATAAACTTTGCTCTGGAAAAGTTACTCCTTTGGCTTCGGTTTCACAGGTAAAGGTGAATTGAGAATTGGTGTGAGCTTGCTTGGCTTGCTGATCTAACACGCCCACATTCTCCTGGCCTTTGCCCAAAGGCTTCCGGAGCAAGGCAGTCGCATTCGCGATGGCCGCAGATATAATTCCCTGATCTTTCGATTCTTCGGCTTTTTCACCTGTCAGTCCAGCTAGATGGCATTTTCAATTGTTTCATCCTTACCTTTGGCATTGGCGCTCATGTTCTGGTCATACTTGGATGGACCACTTCGAGCATTGGAGCCGTTCACCGAAACCCCAAGCGGATTCCGACCTGGGAGTTTTCTGGTGTTGCGTCCCCTACCAGCACCTTGAACTCCAAGACCGGAGCTAGTTCCCGTGTGCGTCGTGGCATAATAAGAATCATCAGCTGAGCCGTCCTTACTTCCACTGATACCCATATGTGCAAGTTCATTCGTCATTGTCGAGTGATGTAGACTCAAACTGCCTGAGGTAGGTATTTTTCTTTTCTTTTTATTGTTGGTGTTTTCAAATGCTTCATATCCGTCGGGAACGGAAGCACCTCCTTTGGCCGCGTATCTGGATTGACGAGCTGATCGTGGTGAACGCTGGGAAGTGACAAAGTAGTGGCGAACGGGAACCATCCGTTCATCTTGAGAGTCCAAATCATCTTCATATTCGTCATGATGACAGTGATGGTGGTGGGGACAACCATGATGGTCATGCTCCTCATCATGATCGTGGTCATGATCATGATCATATCCATCACTGTGATGTTGAACGAGGACCTTGCTATCATTTGGATAATCCCCATTTTCCCCATAGTGAGCGTAGGTCGGTAAACTCGTTGAGGGCAATGTCGGAGGATAGGTAATCGCATCGGCAGCCTCTTGAGATAATCGAGACTTGATTGACCGTTTGGGGAGAGGTCGAATAAGTCGTTCGGGGAAAACCGTTGAAGGAGTATCAGGGGAGGAGAGGTAGGAAGTATCTAGGTTGGGAAGAAAGTCAACATTTCCAGGACGCCGGACACCGTGACAAGGCCGGAGCAATTACTTTCGACCGTCTCAGGAGACATACTGTATGCCATCTCAGCTCTCTTCCACTGTTCTATCGAACCAACAGAGATTTTCTACGCCCCCATCCAAACGTGGCCTGGTTTTTCTGATGCAAGATACTGCCGCAAGGAGCCACTGTGTCAGCAAAGGGTTCAACGCTGGAAAGGGGACGGCGATTCTCGGTATGGACCGGGCGTTTTCTAGCCCATAAACGGATTCTCTGTGCATTGTGATGTCGAAGTCAATGTAGGACATACCCCCGTCTGAATTATTCAGCCAAATCTGATGGATTTCAGGGACGGTCATGCAATGCTGAGACCCTTCGGGCCGGTATTCAAACAAGTCTATCGATGCGGTGGGACTGGAAGAGGCAATTTCCAAGTGGAGGGGACCAAGGTGGAATGAATGGTAGCGAAATGTAGTGGTCGTAAAGGGTCTAAAGATAGGATGGAAAGCTTGCAATGCGGACGCAGTCACCAGTGTCCGTTTCCATCGCCAAGAACCTTGTAGCCGAAACGAGCAGTTGAACGTTTTGAACCGGAGGGCTCCACGGTTTCTCCTCTACTACCATCTACTAGTTGATTGTCTCACAATGCTTTGTTTGCTTCAGATTTCAAGTGAGTCATCCTTTTATTCCCGACTCGATTACAACGCCGGCCACCAGCTCTATAATATAGATCGCCGTTCATCCAATAAACAATCATCCAATTCTCATTACTTTTTCATTGATTCACGTCAAACCTCAGCATTTCAGCTATGAGGTATCATTTGCACGTCTTTGGGGAAATTATGAGATTCTCTTGCTATGCCCCATTGAGGTTCGCCATACCTGACCTGTGCTCAGTCTCGATCAAATTTCAATTTTATCCTGCGATGGCATGTTTGACGTATATTCGTAGCGGCATTTGAAGTGCTTCTGGAAAGAGTAGATGCGATTCTCTATGCACGGCTGCTTCTAGTGGATTTGGAAGGACCTCCTTCCTCAACGTATGGTTCCTCAGTCGCCTTTCTTTTCCTATTCCCTGTGGTTGTTGACCCGTTCGTAATCGGCGCTTTGACTTGTTCTGCATCGGTGGCTTGGGCCTTGGGCATGTTCTCCGGTCTCCTCGTTTCCCCCTTGTACGGCGACGTTGTTCCCCTAGTTGGCCATGAGTCGGTCTCTCCTGCCGGGCCAGCAGCTGACTCGGTAGAATGGGGCGGCGAAGAAATGTCCAGTTTGAGTCGACGCTGTTTCCGAGGAAGATCATCTTCACTCAAAGCGTCACGTCCGTTCGATGGGTGAACATGCTTCGAAGTGAGATTAACAGAGGTCATCTTGGATATCCCCTGTCCCCCTCCCGCATCCTCCACTGAGGCTGCAGAGAGGTGGGATGCACGAGCCACAGACGCGGGTAGTATCCCAGGAAAGCCGATGACCACGTCGCCCTCCTCAACGTCATCCTCTTCCCCATCAAATTCATTAAATTCGTCGTCGTCTTCAAACTCCGTCTCTTGCCGGTCTGCATCTCGGTGAAAGGTTTGTCCGTGCACATTTTGTAGACCCATATCTGCCAGGCTCATGTTATGCGCCCACGACTCATCCTCCTTAGACTGGCCCAGCCCTGGATGCCATCCGTCGTCGGTGATCGCAAACACCTCCTTCCAATTCTTCATGAGGGCCACTTTACTCTCCTGTCCATTTCTGTAGAGTGGAGGACTCCGCTCAGAAGGTCTGGCCCACACCGTACCCTTGATACAGCGTGTCAACAATTCTCTGTCCCTCGGGTCCACCGGGGGAATGTCCAATGTGTCGGCCAACTTCCTTTTCTTCCCTCTTTTGGTGACTTTCTGATTGTCATTTTCTTTTGCAAATGGTCTGGGAGGGCTTCCAACCTGGGGTGTTTGTCTCATCAACACCGGATCATCGTCCATATAATCGTCAGAATAATATTCCCAGTCGCTGAAGTAGTCTTGAAGCTCGAAACCGGCAATTTCATCTTGATACACAGGGCTGTGGATGGCATGGTCGGCAAGGTCGTCGGCTAATTCTGGGGCAGGGTCGGCATTGTACAGAATATCTTCAATGTCATCATACGGTGAGTATGCATAGTCCTCGATATCGGACATTTTGGGGGATCATCAACGCATTTTCAAGAAGATGAATCGCCCATCCGGTGGGGAGGAGGTAGGTTGAGGAGAAGACAGATGCGGTCGCGTCTGGAATGTGAATATCGTCAAAATTGGATCCAATTCGAGGGTCGGCAATCAAACATCCGACTTGTTCGTCACTTGACCGTCCACCTGGTGACTTAAAAGACGCATTGATGTCTCGTTTTGTACCATCGAACCGCAGAAGTTTGGGGGCGGAAGATGCAGTGAACACTGCAGGTCTTTGTGGCATGTTATGCAGCCTAGCTGAACTCGGCAAAATTCCCCGCACCGCCGCCGCTATGCGAGAACAACCGAAAGTCCGGGTATTTAAAAATGGTGTTCTGGCACCTATGAAACTGGCGGATAGCTGGCCTCCATCATGCCAAATTGTCGTATTCCTCGGCCTGCTGCAGCCTGGCGAGCTAGAGCAGCTCTCCGTCCGTCATCCTCCCACCCAGCTCGTCGTTCTCATCATACCCACCCTGACCAAGCCACGAAGTCCCTTGACTCGATCCTGATTGCGAATCGAGGAGAGATCGCCATACGGGTCAATCGTACAGCTGCACAACATGGAATCCGAACTACCACTCTGTACACCCGGCCAGACATTTTCTCACAGCACGCTCATTCCTCTCCGTTTTCCTTTAACCTTGGCGCAACGGCAGCTTACCTTGACCAAGAGAAGATTCTCGCCATAGCAAAACAGCAAGGTTGTCACGCGATACATCCAGGCTACGGGTTTTTGTCTGAAAATGCCGAATTTGCAAAAAGATGTGCAGAAGAGGGTGTCACCTTCATCGGTCCGCCGGCCAGTGCCATCGAGGACATGGGTGACAAAGCCAGAAGCAAGGAGATCATGATCTCTGCGGGTGTGCCCTGTGTCCCTGGCTATCATGGAACCAACCAAACGCCGGAAACACTGTCGCGCGAGGCGGAGAAGATTGGATACCCTGTTCTTATCAAAGCCGTTCGAGGCGGGGGAGGAAAGGGCATGCGTATTGCCAGAAGTACACAAGAATTTGCAGACATGCTGGAAAGTGCGAAGAGTGAGGCAAGGAACTCTTTCGGTCATGATGAAGTTCTCGTGGAGAAATACATCACGACGCCGCGACATATCGAGGTCCAAGTCTTTGCGGACAAGTACGGCAATTGTGTGGCTCTTGGTGAACGAGATTGCTCTATTCAACGACGACATCAGAAAATTCTAGAGGAATCTCCGGCTCCAAATTTGAATGACTCGATTCGAAAGGAGATTTGGGAAAAAGCTCGAGCTGCCGCCCTTGCTGTCAACTACGAAGGTGCTGGTACGGTAGAATTCATCTTTGATAACGACACTGGAGAGTTCTATTTCATGGAAATGAATACAAGACTTCAAGTGGAGCACCCTGTCACAGAAATGGTCACAGGACTGGACCTTGTCCATTGGCAAATATTGGTGGCAGAGGGCAAACCTTTGCCCCTGACACAACCAGAAGTGGAAGAGCAGATTGCCCAACATGGTCACGCGATCGAAGCTCGAATCTATGCTGAGAACCCGGCCAAAGGCTTCATACCCGACTCCGGAAGACTACTCCATGTCCAATTACCCGAAGAGACCGCCGATGTACGAATAGACAGTGGATTTGTGCAAGGCGACGAAGTCTCAAGCCACTATGACCCCATGATAGCAAAACTTATTGTTAGAGCTGCGACCCGAGAAGACGCCCTCCGTAAGATGGCGATGGCATTACAGGAGTATGAGGTGGCTGGACCCGTCACGAATATCGACTTCCTCAAACGCGTGTGCCAGTCCCCCGACTTTATGACGGGCAAAGTTGAGACCCGGTACATCGAAAAACACCGAGAAGAACTATTTCCTCCGACCCATGTCACGCCTGAGGTGCTGGCTGAGGCCGCAATAGCTTCATTCTTGCATTCGATGACTCCTAGATCCGCCACTGCAAGTCCGATCTTGCAATCACCTGTATCCTCGGTATCCTGGCTCAACACTTCCGCCGACTTTCAACCTCGAATTTTCCAATTCCAATCGGCAGATTTCGAAGCCGGCCCCGGCAAATCACCGGAAATCCACAGCATCGAACTCCAACAGACGATTCCAGGTCACTTCTCGATTACGACACCATCTAACCCGTCACCGATCAATGTCTCTTCGAGTCTTGATGCTGAAACAAATACCCTGACAACCTACTTCCCTCACACGCGACACACCTCCCGCATCATTTTCTCTTCTCCCATTGGCCATACCCCCGGATCCGATACAGTCCACCTCTTCACACCTCATGGTTCTTTCCGTCTGACGGCACCGTCACCGACATGGCTCTCTAAGGCACTCGGCGTAGTGGAAAAGCCCAACTCGCTCCTGTCACCCATGCCTGCGAAGATCCTGCGTGTACTGGTCAAGCCAGGCGACACAGTAACTAAGGACCAGGCACTCCTCGTTATCGAGAGCATGAAGATGGAGACGGTGATTCGAAGCCCCGCGGAAGAGGTGGTGGTGAAAAGAGTCGTACATGGTGAGGGCGAAGTTGTGGGAAGTGGGGTCGAGCTGGTAGAGTTTGAAGAGGAGGAAGACTCGGCACAGGGGGATCGAGAGAGGGCAAGTAATAGCCAGAGAGGACAATGATGTAAACTTTGTTCATTCGGGTATCAAGCAGGGATGTCATGTGGCACACCACTCAGCAGCGACGAGTCGCCTCGCCTTCCTTTCTACATCCCAATGATTCGGTGGCTATACGGCCATACAGCTGACGGTCACCAAAGACAGAGAACGGGATTCAATTGCAGCCTATCTCTGGCCTTCCGCACCAGGTATATATATATATATATATATTCATATCTACTGCCACCCTATCATCAGACTGAACCCGTCTCTAGCAATACTTTCAGTGGCGGTAGACTGAGAGGAAAAGAAACAGGACCACAAGGACGGTTTGTCAAAGCCACCAATTTTCGGGCACAGGGCAAGCAGTGCGTGGAGGAGGAGAACGCAGGTCATGTCAAAGCATCGGGTAACACAATTGGGAATGGCAATGCTGGCAACTACACAGGCAGTAAGAACAATTTCCCTAAAGGTGTTTGTGTTAGTGGGTAGATGCTGTTGGTTTAGAATTCTTGTCGGGCATGAAAAGAGTCAGTATCCAAGTGCATACACTCTCGACATCTGAGGGGAGACTTTTCGAGGCTGTTGAATGCACGAGTTTCTTCATAGAAATCCTCCCGTGTTCTCCAGGGGAGAACCCATTCGAACTTGGTCAAGAATGGCAGTCAGACAGGTGAAAAAAGGAGACAGGTTTATCAAAGCTAGCTTCACTCTTCTGCTTCAGGGTTGCATGAAATTCTGTTCCCGTTGACGTGAAACTTATCTAGGCAATCGCCAAGGTAAATCAAAGATTCTGGACACTGTACCCGAGTGGACAGGAACGATTCTACTTCTTGGCTTCGGCTGTTGCAAGTGGATAAGAAAAGGTGTCCTCTGCTGGAAATTTACTTCGAAGACAGCAGGTAGCCGGTGATTAGAGAAGTCCACGGCTGCAACGCCGCGCACGCATAAACCGGGGTAAAGACATTCCCGGATTTTGCAGTGGTTCGATCTTCGCAACCTTGAAGATCACAGTGTGAAGACAAAAGGATCATATAGAGTTGGCACGTTGCAGGCCAGATTCACAAAGTACAGCCATTCGAAGTGAAATTGGACATCGGCAAATTGAAAAGGTGAGTCTCGGGACTTGATCTGACTCCGGAAAGGATTTGGGAAGGATTGACGATTGATCCAACTGACGATTGAATCATCGAGATAGATCCCATTCAATACGAATCGCTTGAGACTTCTTTCTGGATGAACGAGACCCCTGAATGTTTGTGTTTGAGCTGTGACGATTTCGAGAGGGGACCATCAAGACGATAAGCACTCCCATTCCCGATGCATGGGGGTATGGGTCTCTACTCTCGCGGCAAGTGGCTCCAGCCGATTCTTGTGGATGTCTTTAACCATCACATAACCGAGTTAGAGACGCGAAGTTTCGCTTGACGAGGCCACAGCTTCAGGTGAATTCGCTAAAATGTCAACGATTTTTCCGCGGGGGGGGTCGTAATGACGACAGACACCAGGTATCAAGACTGTTCAGTTTGAAGTAGCGGTGATGAGGTCACTTACATTAGTACGGGCTGGAGTTTCCAAGTGCCAAGACGATCGATCGGGTGGAGTGGCGTGGAATTTTTTGAACGTGGCGTCCAGCCTTTCTTTGTCGACAATGAGAAATGGGTTTCTCGGACTGAATGTCCTATCCATTGCAACGAAAGGTAATCTAGATAGGGTCCCAATATCGAAATCCCCCCTTCTCGAACACCATCAAAAAAGAAGTATGCGGAATTCTAGAATGTTCATCATATCCCGGGAAACGGGAAACTTGAAACTTTTGATCAGCGTTGTAGGAATCCATTTCGTTGTTGCAAATGGATATTTTCCACACGGGTGCACCGCCATGGTAAAGGTTAGAGACGGAAAACCTGGCAACGTTCCTGCCGATCTCAAAGTCAAGGGGTTCAAGCCTCATCCGTCATTAAGGATTATCAACTTCTCTCTAGGGCAAAATCCAGACAGGACTGAAAGAGGATTGGCAGGCGGAGGCATATGCTGAACTTCCGTTTGGGGCCTCATGCAGGACCGGGAAGCGATGGATTACGTTTTGAAAGCCGTGGAGGTTATTGAGAAAATATTCCGTAAGTCTCTCGTAACAGGTCCGAAAGCCAGGGTGACAAATGAAGAGTTTGGTCAGGAGCTTTTTTCTTTTTCTTTTCCTCTCCTTTTTTTTTGGGGTGGCTGTGTAACCACCGGGTTGGGCAGCAAACGGGATCAGAGAATCCGGTGACAAGGTCCGGGTTTGAGGACTGAGGCTTGAGAAATGGTCAATGGGGATGGAGGGTATGCAGAAATTCGAACCAGGGAGGAATAAGTGGAGGTCGGATGAAATAGAGACTTGGAGCATTTGTTGTTAGTTTCCTGCGCCGAGTCGCCTATTGGCGCATGTAGGGCTGACTAGGAAAGAGGAAAAGAGTTCGGTGAAAAGCGTTGGAACTGAGGACATGGATTGGGGCGCAGGAAGAAGAAAGGTACAGGAGCAGACATGCCTACACAGACCTAGACGGCGAACGGTACGGAAATGGGCAGTACTGAGTACATCGTGCCTAGCCGATTAGACAGCTCTATGGGTTGGGTGAAGGAGTATTATTTGTACGGTATTGTACTCGCAACAATGTTCGTTCTGTCAGGGGTAGCTCGTGGCCAGCAGGGACTCGCCCCCGGGCACACACCAAGTGCAGAATACATATTTCGACAATGCATGCTCGCATGCTCCCGTACATCCTGCTAAACATCTACAGAATTTACCAAAACTCTTAGCATTGGCCCATATGGTACTGGCTCCAAGTAACTACGTAGCTCCCGCGCACCCTGAGCCACTCACGATCCACAAACCCATCAACCCAACTAAAAAAGGACTGCTTCAAATGTCCTCTCCCATTAAACCAATCCAGACCGATTCAGCGCATTGTTACAGCGAGAAGGCAAAAAGAAAGCACAGCCAGGCAAGGCCCTTTGTGTAGACACTAGAATATAACAGGCTCCCCTCATTCGTGGCCCTGCTTTTATAAAATCGCACGTCTCGTGCCACTGTACTGGATTCAACGACCTCAATCACCATCAACCACCCCCGAGTCCGTCACACGTCTTCGCCGTTCACTGGATCCACGAAGGCACATCGAATTCCCGAGTACGAACCAGGTCAGCTCGGTCGTGAACAGCACTGATCTGAACTCAAAGGCAACCCAAAATTCAATTTCCATCAATCAGCCAATTTCGTCTGGTGTCCTTGGGTACGTCTTTGATTCTGCCTGAACCGCAAGTTCAGCCAGCGCCTTGCCATCCCGCCCAGCTCAGCCTTCATACCTGTCAACAACTCCCCTCGTCACCCAATAGTCACCCAACTCCATACGGAGAGGCGTTTACAGAGAAAGAAACCGCGACAGGCAAGGCCCGCGACTGAGCCTACAATTTCCCGCCATCACGCCAAATATCCCCAGCCCGATCTGGAACTAAATCACGAAGCGAACCGCCTTCCCGCCGCCCACGCACACAAAACCTTCTACTCGGACCATCTGACTTTCCCGCTGTCCGTCTTGAATTTCTTATTTCAACCACGACGACCTGGAGGGGCCTTCTCGACCATTATTCATTTCAACTCTTCCATTTCCATCCCCATATCATCCCCATCCCTCCTACATCTACGCCGACGACGCCGGGATTTCGTCCCGTAGCGGCCTTTTCATTTCCATTCTCTCTCTTCGTGGAACCAACTAGAGGGGAAAAGGCGAGAAGGAGGGAAGCTCTGAAATGTAGTCGATGCGACGCTGACGGAAACTCCTTCTCCATTTTTTTTTCTTTGGCAAAGACGGCACACCGAACCCCCGACTCAAAGCATACGTTTTCCGAGTGAGGGCGGTATTGAAGGAGTTATTTTAGTGGAGAATATTCAGGGCACAGAGAATCAAGAATGAGTTTACAGCCACGGTAAGTTCGGGACCTGTTTTGCCTCAGACTAGGACCTCCTTCTTTGGGGGGCCTATTTTTCCCACCCGCTACTTATGTGAAAGAGAATTTCGCTAACCATAGCCATTCGGTGGGGTTTCCAACAGGCGAGAATACCACATTGTCGTGCTTGGTGCTGGTACGTACTGTGTACATTGGTGCACTTGTGCACTCTCCCCCCTTTCAACCCATACCACGCTGGTCCACGGCCAACGTCCTGGGAAAACAAACAGAAACAGAAACTAACCTAGTTTCTTTTCGGTCTTTCTAAATAGGCGGTGTGGGTAAAAGCTGTCTCACGGCCCAGTTTGTGCAAAATGTCTGGATTGAAAGCTATGACCCGACCATCGAAGACTCGTACCGCAAACAGGTCAATGTCGACGGTCGCCAAATCATGTTGGAAATGTATTTGCTCCCCCCCCCC